AATCCTCAGCCCCATCCCTCAATCCCTGGATTTTGAATTGGATCGATTTTTGTAACTAACGATTCTTTTTTCGACGTAGAAACACATTGTTACACAGTTTTGAACAAACGTGTCAATTTACACGCCAATATGATCCTCGAAAAACTGGTTGGCAACTAGTTCAACGATGACGTACTACTTTCGCTTTATTTCTTTTTTTTCTTTATTCTTCTTATTTTTCTTCTTTTATATTTCGCGTTGAAATGTTATAATTGGCAAAAAAAAAAAAAAAGAAAAATATATCGTTACGTTGTAAATATAAATGTATACACATTTTTTATTATATTATGTAATATAAGTTATATATTTTTTTATTATATTATACAATATAATTTATAATATGTATTTATATAATATAATATATTATAAAAGGTAATTATTACATTCTAAAAGTGTTAATTTTTGTTTTTATTTTGTTTTTGATTATATTTACCTTGACACATGGAAGTCTACTACGCGCACGCTCGAAAATCCTTTTTCGGAATTTCAATCAGAAGTTTTAACTGCCTCTCATTCGCAGACTTCCGTTTAATTGCGATCTATTGTACACATCATACGTCACTCGACAAGAATGTATTTCCATTTAGGTGATCAACTAATCTCAAAGCTGCTCGCCCCTCTCTTTTCTAAACCTAACAAGAAAACTTTTCAAACCCCCTATTATGCAATCTACAAGAACTTTTAATTATCTACAAAATATACTATATTGTAATCATTTATCAATACTTTTTAACTATTCACCATTAACAATTATTAATTCAATCTGTTTTATGTTTTTTTCTTTCTTCTGTTTTCTTTAACAATTTGTATATTTATTTTGTTGTTGTTGTTGTTACAAATTATTTGAAGTTTGGTTATTCTTCGAATAAAAATTATTATTATATATTAATTAATAGGAAAATATATTATTTAGTTAAATAAAATATGTTTCTGAAGATCCGGCAGTCCTGGTAGCAGATCCGGAAGTGCCGGTTCCGGAAGTCCTCAGCCACCACAATCGATTGCAAATCAAAATGTCAACGTGATGCCTTCAACAGCAACTGAAGAAGTCAAAAGCAAACCACGTAGTCGTAGTTTGATCAGACGTGCCTCAAGAAAAACTAAACAACAAATTCGAGACTCACATGCGGAAGATTGCAACATCTCTTAAAGATGATTTTAAAATGACAAAAGAAGAAGAAAAAGAAAAATAAACAAATAAATCAAAAGTAAAGTAAAATAAAGTATAAAGTAATGTAAAGAAAGAAAATATTAATTTATAAAACAACATTACATATATTTATTCCTAAATATATATAAAAATAATCTAAATCGATTATTATATTATATATATAAAATATATTATAATAAATATAATAAATTATAAAATAAATAATATGTAATTTATATAATAATATAAAAATATATATTATATATATAATTTAAATAATAATATAAAAATACTAAAAATAATATAAAATAATATAATAATAGATAAAAAAAAAAAGGTTAATTAAAATATTAAATGGGATAAAACGAGAGAACACAAATCCTGTTCTAATTTTTTTTTTTTTTTTTTTATTCTTGTGACTTCTTTTAATTTAAAATACAAAGTAATTTATTTGGTTTAAACCTGAGGTTGGAAAATTTTGTTCTCCGACTTTTCTTTTTCTTTCTTTTTTTAAATTTAAAGAAAATAAATTAAAACAATGAAATTATAACATATAAAAGAAAGATAAAGTTCATTTTAAATATATATATATATATATGATAAAAGTAGGTAAAAAGGAAACTAGAAACAAGTCAGAATTAAAAAAAGAAATTTGAAAAAATGATAAGAAAGAAAAAGCTTACTTAGTAATCCAAACGGATTATGTATAACAAGCGCTTTCTTGTTTTACAAAAGAAATATAATATTATTATTATAATTATTACATTGAGTATGTAAAGTAAATGGTAATGACGTATGAGATTAAGTGATATATACGGTGCGATAATAATTCTGTCCACCTTGAAGATATCTTCTTCTTCTTCGTTATCATATTAAATCCTATTAAGAAAAATTTCAAAGGAAAAAAATTGCATCATTGAAAATTTAAATGGTGAAAAGAATTGTTTGGCGAGATCATTTTTTCTTTCTTTTTTTTTTTTTTTTTCTTTTCTTTTTATAAGATATTAAAATATTCGATGTTACGTGTATATACTTGTGTGTATGAACAATTTCTTTTCTAATTTATTATTTATATCTTTTATTTTTTATTTTATTTGTCAAGTTGAATTTAAGAATACAAGTGTGAAACATTTTCAACTCGAGAAATATATGAAAAATTTATTATAAAACTTCTCCAAGATATATTAACGCGTAAAATTAAAAGAAAATAAAATAAAGTATATATATAGATAGATATATAAAAGCACATAAATATATTTAATAATTAACCGTCCCATATTTAAACAAAATGTTTATTCGAAGAAGCTGATGAATAAATGAACAAAAAAAAAAAAAAATAAGATGAGTTAAAAGTGTCGTCGATGAGAGATATACATGTACAATGATCTCATTGACGAATCACGAATACGCTTAAACGAATACGTGGTAAAACGTTCTATATATTGTAATTATAAATAAAAATATCGCGATCTGTTTCGTGTGTATTCGTTTTTAATCAATGAAAAATTAATCATAATTAAATTAGAATAATGAAGAAAATAATTGTAAGTTAGTTATAGAAATAAAAAATAAAAAAAGAAGAAAAAGATTATCTCACCTCTTTGTGTAAAAATTACGAGTAAAACTGTCGTCCAATAAGATCTTCGTTATCTCATACGATTTCTCTATCTTTCTCTCTTAATGTAATATATATATATGTATATGTAAACTTATTGATTTTTTTCTTTGTTCTTAATATTCGTCAGTTAAACCTCGCAAAACAAGCGGATCGTCCGGGTATAAATAAAAATATAACAATAAGTAAAACAATATAAAATTAATCGGGATTACGAACAAATTTGTTATATATATATTATACATATAATATATATACTATTATAATGCCAGTGTCCATAAATGGTAAAATTAACAATGTAAATGAAGTGGAATATAATTTTCTTTGTTTGACCCATTTTTTTTCTTGACCTAACTGGCAATACACTAGTATTATATCTATATCGAATACTATTATATATATATTATATATATTAAATGTTTAATCTATGCTATTATTATTATTATTATATATGTATATAAATAATAATTAAGCTATTATATTTCTCTAATAATATTTAAAGTAAATGAGAGAGGCTAAGCTACAAATCAAAAAAACAAGAAAAAAAGAAATTCAATTTTTAAGACGCAAGCTATGTTACGCAAACTACTACCTGTCATTTAAACAAATTATTACTATAATAATAATAATAATAATAATAATAAACAAAAATAAGAAATAAGAACATTCCTATTGGCTATCAACGAACGTGTTGAAAATAATTCACTTTATTGAATAATTTTAAAAACATTTCTTTACGAATTAACATTATACTAACATATTTGTGATTTCAAATTGTCCGCCATATTTTTAATCAGAATAATGAAGTTTCTTATTGGCTGAAATTTAAAATCAAAATTTCGCGCGTTCGTTGATAAATATTATATATATAAAGACAAAAATATATTCACGCAAACTGAATTGAACTTATTATCTGTCTTTACTATATCTGTCTGCTATAAAAAAAAAAAAAAAAGAATATTGAAAACACTAATTGTAATATTTTATTGTAATATGAGTACGACTTATCTTTTTTGACATCTTGCAAGAAACTGCATCGTTCTATCTCTCTTTCTCTCTCTCTCTCTCTCTCTCTCTTTATCAGCGACAATTATTATTTCTTGTAAAAGTAAATCAAATCTTGTCGAACACTCGTGTCAAACAAATTTCGTCCAGAATTATTAATAACAAATATAATTCGATAATAATTAAAATGATAATTAATTAAATAGAAAATGTATTGCAAGTTGTTACGAAGGATTGACGATTAAAAATGTGATTCGGTTATTTCCGTAACTTGTCGGTAAACTAATAATACGATGTCTTTGATTGGTCGAAATTCGGCGTATGAACGAATAAATGAAATGGAGGGAAAATGATAATCTTTTAAAAAAAATGATTAAATTCGTATCAATTAAAAATGATTGTAAAACGAATGAATTAGAATTTATAATAATTAATTTTTTTTCTCACGCTGTCTTACCTTGTCAAAAATGTGTCTGTAGAAAAGAAATGATTAAATAATAATTAAATGTCATTTGAAACGACATTAATTATTATTAGATTAGTATGAAGTTCTAAAAAAAGAGGACAATTTGATTAGAATTGTTTGACAAGGTTTTTAATAAAATTAATCGAATCAGAATCGGCGAATCATCTTTGCTTAATTTTAAATAAACAACACGATTTTAATTCGTGTTTTTTTACCATAAAAAATGATCTCAAAGTACGGACCAAGAAAAACGGTAAACGTAAACCGTTAAGTACTGATTTATCATCGAGCTTAAGAAATATTAATACAAATAAACCGATTTTGAATCGTTTGATTAATAAAAAAGACAGCGTAAATTATAAATAAAAACAAATAAATAAATAAATAAAATAATAATATTATATTGTTATTAAGAAAAGAAGAATATCATCTTCGACCAATTTTAATAAATGTCTTGCTGTACTTCTAAATGTAAGCACACCTACTGATTCTTTGCACATGTCGTGAAGACTATATTTAATCTTTCAAAATGAAAACGATAAATAAAATTATAATTAAGTTTTCATTTGTCATATATTTCATTCTATCTAATTAGAAAGAAAAAATATATATATATATATATATTTATATATTTAAATATATAAATCGACGGGCTTCTAATTTTTTAATTAAAATCTCAAATGTTCCTTTATGAAATATACTTTGAAATTATACCGAAAAATCCTTGAATTTGTATTTTTACATAACGCATTGTGGTGACATCGGGATTTTCTGATAGCTCAAGCGTGTTCAAGTAAATCTGTCTAAATGGTGAAATTATTGTACATATATATAATGAGTCATTCAGTTGTCAAATCGATTAACTCCATTAAATAAAAAAAATAAATAAAAAATTTAATCATTAATTGATATTAAGCATTATTATAAAGCAAATATATATTTAATATCAAAAATATTAAAAAGTAAAGTTAATCGTTTTGATTTTTGAACAACTCATATATACATTATAAAATTAATATTGTATTAATTTCATGTCATTGAATTATTTCATTTAGTATATAACAATCTATCCGAACATATTATTACGTATATTGTATTAATTCAAAATTAAGTTTATCTATATTGGTAATCAAATAAGAGAGCTATATGGTAACAAAACCAATATTGTACAATGTTTATTAATGAAATGTTAAGAAAAAGACAAAAGTGATTTGAATATATCAATAAAGTCATTTTAAATGGATTACTTTAATTAGATTTTTTTATTCATTTCATTGATATTCTATTCATAGTACTAAAAATGAAATTATCAAAATTTGTCTTTATTGAAACTCCTCTACGTTTTTTTAAAATACATACCATCATTAAATACAGAAATTTATATTATGATTATAAGAGATCACAGTAACAATCTTATAATGAGACCGTAGTGACATTAGAGTTTGTATCGGAATTGCATCCATTATCAGTCCCTTGAAATAAATATTTAAAATGTTGAACATACGGTTGACAATGTTCACCCCTTGTAAAGGCTGTTGTATTACGTAACCTTAAGTTACGTTGTTCAAAAAATTTAAAGACTGAATGAAAGAGAGTAGCATCGTTAGAAGCTTTTGCTGCTTCTAAAAATTTTCGAGCAGATACCTGATCTATCATTCCGACTGAACGGACATATCTAAAACGTATTCCAATGAAATCAAAGAATTTTGCAATAATTTGATAGTTCTTTTTTTTTACTTACCTAAGAGCAGCTAATATATGACCCTTGGACAAAAGTACTTCGATTATTTCTTCGTGTGCATTTCCTAATCGTTTTAACATATCCAATGCTAATTGATGAGCAGCCGGATATAGATTTTCTAATGATAGCAATAAACAAGCTAAAGGTTTCGAATCAGCTACAACATGATATTGCAGTAATTGATGCAGTTGATAATATGCTTTTCTTTGCACCAATGTTGTAATAACTAATTCATGTAAATAATGTTCTACAGGAATTCCATGTTCTGTTAAAGACCTAATCAATCATTTTCCATAATGCATTAGATATAATTTAACAAATATAACAATTGAGACGATTGTGATTTATTATTCAACGCACATACCTGATATATTCTAGGAGGACCCATACTATCATTTTTGGTTCTATTGTACTTTCAGGAAATTTAGGTAAAATGATACTATACATATCGCTTTGTTCAATTTTCAATTTGTACATATAATTCTCCGTAGTAGTGTTACCATTTTTGGTATTATTCTGAAGAGGAGTACCCATCTAAGCAAATATTAATAAAACATTGCTTAATCAACAAAAATACGAGTTCAATATTTTGATACAATTATAATTCATTCACCTGATTCTGCATTTCCTTCTCAAGATAATTTCTATATACAGGATTAATTTTATCGAAAATTGCTGGAATATCCATTAAACTTACTGGCAACTCTGTCATAAATTGTTGCAATACTTGTATCAAAATTTGTTTAGCGTTAGATCTTTGCATAAGAAATTCAACTAATATAACTTTGTCTTTAATAAGTTTAATTAATACTTCCAATCTCAATTCTATGTACCTGTAAATGATAAAAAACATAAATAAACATATGAAATATTAATATGAATCTAATATAAAATAAAAGTCACTTAATAAAATTTTATAAAAGCATACCATAAGCACCCTAATTTAACGTCAATTACTATATTTGGTTGAAATACTACCCAATTAGGTGAATCTATACTATAATAAGAAAAATATATTTCGAATCTATAAAACAATAAAAAATGATGAAATTTTGGTTTAAAAGGATACATAATTGACAAGGCTGTAACAACTCATCTGACAAAGTAGCACCTGGGACAACAAGGTTGTATGGTTTAATAGATTTTGCTGGTGCTACACTAGTATGATGTACCACAGTACCATCACTTACACCAGGTAACATTATATCAAAAATCATTGATGTCTATAAAAAATAATAGCACTCAGTCAAACAATAATCAATATAACCATATATAAACTCTGTATTTATAAAATATATACCTTTGATGCCTGATGATGAACAATAATAAGATTGTCTACAACATTAATAGCAAATCGTCCACTGGCATCGAGCTTAAGAATATGACTTTTTTTAATTGTTAACATCCTACAATATATAATTTACATGAATGGTGTGATTTTTTGTTTTTAATTTAATTCCATCAAATTTGTAATAAAAGTCTTACTTATGAATAGTATATACATAGACAAATGCAGTTGCAACAGAACGATTAGCTCCTGCCTGATGTCGCAAAACAATAATACAAGGTGTCCCATACAAAACAGCTAAAGCTACGTCTCTTTCTGAGACAGCAAGCTTTCCCGGTTTGGTTGTACTAGGTTCCACTGAAATGGCTCCCATACAGATCTACAAGTTCTATATTATGTAAAAACCACAGAAGGTCTTATCGTTCAACTTACTTTCAAATTTAGTAAATTTTTGAATGTTGCCAGGTGTTACGTGTAATGCTTGCATTAAATTTCCTACCGAACCAGTGGACAATAAAACCAAATAACTTTTAGGACAAAATACAAACCAATTGATCACTAAATTAGAAGATTTCAATGTTTTAGTACAACGTTTCTCTGGATTAACCTATAATAATAAAACACTAGTATCACACATCGTGAAATAATAATAATGCTAACTGTTATCATTAATCTTACTTGAAACAATTCTACTCCTTGATCGGTAACAAATAATATTTCATTGCCATGCGTCCAAACAAAACCTAATATTGTTGCAGTCCTTCCCTTGCAAGACTGTGAATATTCAATACCATCAGGTTCATGTGTAGGAGAAAAATTCATAAACTCTACAGATGTATTAGTACGCTGTATAGCAAGTATATTCATATCTGGAGAAAATTTGATGGATATCACTGGACCTTTATCCTCCATTCTAAATATTATATTTTGATTAGGTCCCTTGACCAAAACCCCAGTGACACCCCCAGAACGAACAGCAAATACCTTAACAAAAACACAAAGAGAGGTTAGAAAATGAAACAACGTACAATAATCGAATAAATTTAGCGTTAATAACTCACTTGCTGCTTGGAATCATCGAAAAAAACATTAGTAAGACTGCTAACCGATTCAAACTTAATAGGATCAGAAGATAATTCCAAATAATAATCGTCGTTCCCTTCCTTCTCGTTCTCCATTTCAACAAATCAGTAAACACTTAAAACTTTAGCTGTCATTCGCGAAAGCCTTGATATTTCTACGTCAAAGGCTTAAGAAAACACAGCAAATCTAGTCTCGCGCACTCTATCTATGTAGATAAAACAAATTAAGTTATGAATCATTAATTAAAACGATAATTATATATCACAATTTACATATATATACAAATATATACATACACGTATAACATCAAATCATAATACATATGAAAGGATCGATAGTCCGAATCGAGTATGCACTTTCAAATACATTATTAAAATGGCGCTTAAATGTTTCGACCAATCATAATGAATATTGAAATAAATCAACAGAAAAATGAAAAAAAAAGAAAAAAATAAATATCTCTAATCGATATAATGAAAATAATTCATATGCATATAAATATATATATATATATACATTTGTTTACATAAACATACATACTTATACATATATATATATAGATATGTATATAAAAAGGAACGCATAATCGATCGTAGCTTGACGAAGGATGTGTGAAAGAGAGAAAGAGAGAGAAAGGGTTAGGTAGGCGTGGTAGTGGGGAGAAGGATGCAAGTGAGAGGAGAGAGAGAAGAAAAAACAAAGAAGGAGAAAGGAAGAGAAGGATAGAGGGGCGAGGAGTGAAGAGAGGGAGAGAGAGAGAAAGAGAGAGTCGGTACGGTAAATGGAACGGCCCCAAACAAGGGGGAGGTTGCACGCTGGTGGAGAAAGAGCCGCCGATGTGTGACGTCATCTTTCCTCGTCCCTCACGTTTCGTCGCAGTTCGACGCCGTCGCCGTCGTCGTCGTCGATCGGCCGTCGGCGATGAGTTTAGTTTTGAAAACAAGAGGCTTGCCGGTACTCGGGTACTCCTCGCGTCCTTTTATTATAAACGTAGGAGGAGTTTTCGATCGTGCGACTAATTAATCTTAAGAGTGGGAGGGAGAAGGATAATAAGAAAAAGAGTGGGAGAGAGAAAGAAAGACAGAAAGAAAGAAAGAGAGAGAGAGAGAGAGAAGAGAACAAACGAAGTGATTACGTATCCCTTTCTCTATAAAAAAAAAAGAGAAAGAGAGATAGATAAATAGATAGATAGATAGATAGATAGAGAAAAGACGGACGCGTAGCAAGCCGGTATTCGCGTTTCTCGCGTGTTTTCTTCCCCATTTGCGATAGTGTTTTTTTTCTTACATTCGAACTTCCTTTTTTAAATTCTCCCTTACTTCCTCTCTCTTCTTCATATCACGACGTGTGTTTCCTTACTAAATTTCTATAATCTTCGAATCGTATACATACATATAAGTTAGTAAGAAATAAACCGTTATTACATAGGAAGATTAGAAAAAAAGAGGAGATAAGAGAAGGGGGAGAATAAGGGAAGAAAAACAAATATATAAAGGAAGAAAAATGGACCCACTTCGCGAGCAAGTGATGATCAATCAATTCGTATTGGCTGCCGGTTGTGCCAGGGAACAAGCAAGACAATTCTTACAGGCTACTCATTGGCAATTCGAGGTAAATTCAAATGTTGTCTTTTTCTCTTTAAACTTTCATATTCATTCACATTCATTTACCCAAATTGTATTTTATTTTTATATATATTTATATTTATATTTATATTTATATCGTTGAACTCTTTCCCCTTCTGCTTTTATTATTTTTCTTTTACTTTTTCTACTTCTGTTTCTATTTATTATTATCTTCTATTTCTATCTCTCTATCTCTCTCTCTCTCTCTCTCTCTCCCTTTTTTCCTCCCTACCACTTTCCTTCTCTATTTCTATCTCTTTCTTGCTACTTCATACGCGTACACCGCTCGATGCCACTTCGTGTACGTAAACAAAGCTGCGAAAATGGCCGACACGACGGCGACGACGACGAACGGTGGCGACTCTCTCTCTCTCTCTCTCTTTCTCTCTCCATTCGCTTTCCTGCTTATTATATATACATATATGTATATAGATAGATAGATGATAGATAGATAGGTAGATAGATAATGATTTATATATATAAGTACTTTACCGTGAAATATTATCGAACATGCGAACTTTTTTACTTTTAATTATTATCATTATTATTTCTTACGATTATTATTATTATCTCTATTTTTGTTTCTATCTATCTTCTGTATTTTACTTTGGAAAACAATGCTCAATTAAATACTACATGTTTTTGTTTTACTACACACGTCAATGAACGGTCATTTATATACACACTGTTATATATATGTATATATATTTACGTTTTGTAGTCCATTCATAAAAATGGCAGTAAGAAAAAATGTTAAGTAATTTTTTTTAATCACCGTCTCTTCTCATAGTATTATATATATATATATAATATTTACATGAAATGCGTTTACGTTGAACGATAATTAATTTATAAAAAGAAACAAAAAAAGAAAATTACAATTGTTTATCAGATTGATATTTAATTGAGATATTTTATTTTAATTGATAAATTTTACTAGAAGTTTTTTAGTTTCTTTATCTCTCTTTTTCTCTCTCTCTCTCTCTCTATCGTATTTTCAAGTCGATGCACTTGAAGAAAGAGAGAAAAAGTTCTAATCACAAGTTAGAGAACTCGTGCGCGTGCACGTTACGGCTTTGTTTACTCTGGAGAATGTTGTAAGAGTGGAATGACGTCTACCTGTGGTAGCTCTTCGTCGAAAACGAATGAGAAAAAGAGAGGAAGAGAAAGAAAGAGAGAGAGAGAGAGAGAGAGAGAGAGAGAGATGCATCGATCGGTTCGTTGATTCTCATGAGAAAAAGAGAGATAGGGAGAGAAATACCAAACATCTTAAACAACTATATATAATGCATATATATATATGCACCTAATTAATTAATTAATTAATTAATTTTACTTTTAAATTGAAATTGAAATTTGAATTTGAATTTGAATTTGAATGTCAATATAACAACACCTACTTAATGAATATGTTATTACTATTAATTAATGATTAATATTGAATATTGAATGAAGAAGAAAAAAGGAAAACAATGAGTAAAATAATAAATTGGAATATTGAGGTAATGAATTAGCCAATTTGAATTTATTTTTTTTTATATGTCATCTTAATTATACGGATAACGAAGATACTTTAATTATTCGTAATAAGAAAACGAATGAATGAATTAAGAAAAACTGAAGATCTTTTAAGAAGTATAAAGTGTGTATGTATGCATTCGTTGAATTTGGGTTGGGAACTTTCTCCGGGTTTGCACACTAATGCATTTTTAACTGCAGATTACGACACACACACGTTCTAATAAATCCTGTAGGCGAAGTCTGGTATATTTCTTGTTTTCTTTTTTTTTTTTTTCTTACAGCATCTTTTTTGCTTTTATTCAATAATAAATAATAATATCAGGTTTTGTTCTAATAAAGATAATATATTCTTAATTAATTGCATACACGTGCACATTATACAAGAACAATATGCAAGTGAATCAAAGAAATATTTGTAAAACGTTTATTCAACGAGTTCTCATAATTTGGGACAATATTTTTAAATAAATAAATGAAATGATAAAAAGAAACCATTTGTTCATTCATAAGTTTGAAGAATATTTTGATAATACAAAAAAAGTATGAAACTATTAAAAAATTTCAAGGTAAACACGTGGTTATATTTGATATTACGTATACGAAGTATATACAAAAGAATAGAGAATAGAAAGAATTTTATTACAAAGAATAAGAGAAAAAAAACTTTATCATGTGTCCTCTGACATTAATTATTTTGGTTTGAGACCATCTAAAAAGTTAGTTTCCCACGACAAGTTCGTAGTAACTCAACAACATCTGGCATTGAAGAAGATCCAAGCAGAGAGAATTTTATTTTCTCGTCGCGGTGTTACAAAGAAATCATCTTGTTAGTAATAAACCTATCTCTCATTGATATAAATTGTTTGATAGAACAATGTACAGGAATATTCCAAAAGTAACTTTATTAAAAAAGTGAACAAAATAAACTTAAAATATATTTATCAATAAAATTACAATATTTTCTTTTTTTCAGTTCAATGATTTAAATCCCCAGTTACAAAAGCATTTGATTCCAAATGTTTGATTGATGAATGAAAATTGAATTATATTAAAAATTGTTTTTAATACGATAAAAATGGACTTTTGAAAAACTATTTTTATATGAAGAATGATAAATACAAGTAAGAAAAAGAAAATAATGTCGGATATAGGAAAACCAGAAGAAAAAACACAAGAATTATGTCAGAATGATAAAACGTATATTATATATATATATGACTGTGGGAAGAATGATATGATAAAAGAAAATACATAGAGGAAAAAGAAAAAATATTTGACAAGATATGAAAGTAGGGGATCAAAAACTAACCAACGAGGGTTTAGATGTGTACTAATAAAAAGAGAGGAAATAGATGAGAGAAGAGACTTGAAACAAGTTAATATAGGGATAGAATAATGATGCAATGATAATTTGACTAACTATTTATTACCATTTGCCTTTCAATTATGTAATCCTAGTATTCATAAGGAGTTAAAGTTCAATGTAGTTCTCGTATACATTGTGATTCATTTATAAACTTTGTTTTTTTATCTTATTTGTATGAGTCTCCTATTTTCATTTTTCATTCAAACGTTTTAAATTACAATGATTTATAAACACGTCTCGAATGCTGTTTTATTTTCTTCTATGAAATTCTTAACAAATAAAAAGAAGAACATATAATTGGTATAATTACAATTAAAATAATAATAATTATTATTATAAAAGCAACATTGTTTCAAAATTTGATCATTTAAAAAACTCAAAATAGATACGAAAAAATAGAAAATATTGTAAAATAATAATATATAAATATTTTGATTGATTAGATATATAGTAAAGGTGTAATCTTAATGATTTATTTTTTTTTAGATTGCACACGCACGCACGTACGCACGCAAGCACGCACGCAAGCACGCGCTATATACATACTATTCCTATTTGTTATTTTAAGATTAACCATGCATCTGTGTATGTGTGTATCTATGCATACGGATGTACGTATTTATCTATTTACTAGAGTAGAGGTGTGTTGTAGATGAAATTAGAACGAAAAGAAGAGAAGAAGGGAAAGGGGTGGAGGGTGGTTGATAGAGGAGACATTTGTTATAACGTAAGAGACATTTAGTTTTGCCAAATGACATAGAGTGACGAAGAAAATCTTCTGAATCAATGATCTTTGGCACAAATTCGAATAATTCTCTTCTCTTATAAGAAATTTTATTTCGTATTTTTGTAAAGTTAGAAATTTAGTTGAAAAACAACTTGTTAAATTGACTTTTCCTTGCACCCTTTTGGTGATGGTGTTTGTTTATGATAAAAAGACACGCGCCTTATCAATTGCATTTTACTTAGTCGCATTGCAGAGAATATATATATATATTTATTTATTTATTTATAATAAAGTGAAAGAAAAAAAATAGAATTTTTATTTGAAATTATATTCATTATAAAATATGTAATTGGACAGATTATTAATGTTAGGCATTGAAATCATAAAAGATAGAATGAATTTATTCTCTGATAATTATTGAATTATTGATATTTTGATTATTATTATTATTATTATTATCATATTTTTTGTTTTACTCTTGCTTTCAGATGGCACTCAGTCTTTTCTTTCAAGAAGTAGCAATACCTTCTTGTGCTCAGGGTGCAGGTACTCCATTTGGTCAAGTAAGTTTTATTACACATTTTTTCATCCTATTATTATTATTATTGTAATTTTATCATTTGTTTTGTTTTTTCTTTTTCTTTTTTAATAGTATTATATTTTAATTATAAAAATTACCGATACTTATCTTTTAATTACATTTTTTATTTGTTTTTATATGTTGAAAAAATATGTGTATAGGTTTTCAATTAGGTAAAATAATTATTTTGGTAAGTCAACTTGTATATGTTAGAAATAATAAACAAAAAAAATATTCTTATATTAGAACACTAATTAAGTGTTTTTTTTTTGTCCAATTCTATCTCATTTTTATTTTTTATTTTTTTTGACATTTCGCATTTTCACAGAGTGAGGGGAAAAAAGAGGAATCTTTTTTCTTTTTTTTAAATTTTATTTATTCCCACCAATTCCGTCATCGTTCGTCTTGCATATCGATGTTCCTTCTGGGCTATCCAAGATCCCTATGAATTATTTATAATCGGAATCGCCAATCTATACTCTGCCATCACTAAAATAACAACTTTATGTCTGGGAAAGAAAAGGAAAAGAAAAATACAAATACAAATACAAATATAAATGCAAATGCTAATGCAAATGTTAAAAAAAATCATGACAAGAAATTTCTCTCAATATATCAATGAATTGCACATATATATATATTATATATGTATAGAGAGGGAGAGAGAGAAAGAGAGAATATAATATATAGATAAGAATAAAAAGAATATAAATAATAATATTAATAATTATAATATATAATAATTATTATATTTTCTTTCGTATTTATTTCATTGGAAATGAAATAAAAATCAATTAATTTGAAATGTAGTCTCTACACGTAATTACATTATACTATGTTATATACTATGTAAAGAAGATAGATAAAGTGATATTAAATATTTTGTAAAAGAATGTTTTGTCAGAAGAACGTTGGACTAACAATAAAACGAGATAGAAAATGAAAGATAAAATAGATAGAGTGTGAGTCAATGTGTGTTGAAAATAATCTCGACACTCGAAAAGCTATGTAATCCTTTTCTTTCCCTTCATTCATTCATTCAGAAATTGGGAGGGAAAAAAATGTGAAAGAAAAATATTAAAAACAAAAACGGTTTTTTTTATCTCCCCCCCCCCCCTCCATCTTTTCTACAAAATTGTACATATACTATAGTTGTGCATATATTAATTTATAATAGTAATATATATGAATATTATTATTATTAAAATATTATTTATATTCTTTGTAAATCAGTGTCGCGATAAAATATAAAAGAAAGATATATCTAATCGGGTTTTTTTTTCAAATAAATACAAAAATAAAATGATATTTATTGATTACGTCAATTATGACTTCTTTTTTTATCTGCCGATATTTTTTTTTTTGTATTTATCATCAAATTTATTGTTGACGTTTGAAGTAAAAGGAAATACACAAAAAGAAAAGTAATAATAATTGAATTGGATTAAAATTTTCTTTCACTGTGTGATGTATGTAGTGAACATTGTTGATATCAACTTATTATCGATTAGTCCTTCGATTTTTATTCCTTTTTTATTTTTATTTTTAATTTTCACCTATCTAACTATCTATCTATCTATCTATCTATCTATATATATCTTTATTTCTTATACAAGGCTTCTTGTCAATAAAAGTTTTACTTAGAAGATAGTCAATAAAACTATAATTATCGTTCGACACATCCGTTTGTGTTTCTTCTTAAAGCCATGTCAGATAATTAAAACCGATAAATAATACATAAGTTGATATAATTCTAAGAGTTTTTTCAATTCCTATAAAAACTAAACAAAACAAAAATAAAATAATGTTTCTCAATAATGAGTAATTGAATAATCAATAAAAAACATTTATATTTAATATTTACATTTATTATTTACACATTATATATTTTTTTATTATATTAATAATAGTAAATAAAAATTAATAAATAATATGCAATTATTCTTGTTTTCCTTTGAAGTGCAACATTTCTTTTAATCATTATAATACTTCTATAAACATAATTAAAATTTATTATTGTAACATTTGAAATTCTAACTTTCCATTTATAAACCTCACATTGTTAATGTTCTTACTGCTGCGTTGCATCTTTTAATAAATACATAGACACACACACACACACACGCAAACAAACATACATACATAGAAACAAATACACAAATATACAGGAGAGAAAAAAAAATGTTTGAATAGATTCTTTCTTGCGCAAGCGTTGTAAAATGTTAAACCGGTGTGTTGTGTTGTGTTGTGTTGTGTTGTATCGGGTGAATTCATGACTATGTATTTTCATTGGATGCAATTTTGTGCGCATGCATTCTGTCTCCTCTCACTTTGTTCTATTCAAAAATTTGTCCCATTATTCATACTACCTCTCTCTACCTACCTACCATTAGCTTTACAGAGTGCAATTAAAATTTCGATATGGTTTGTTTTATTACTGTCTCTTTTTTTCCTTTCTTTTTTCTTTTTCTTTTTTTTTTTTTTTTTATACATACTCTCTTTTGCAGTAATTATTTATACGGTAAATTTATATCATTGATGAATATTATATTCAACAAATATATTCGTCTCGTTATTTTCAAAATGTTTCGTTCAAATCATCTTCTCAATTATATATTCCTTAATTGCAAAATTATATACTATTATTATTATTATGAAAATTTTTCTAATTAAAATTGAAAGTTTTAACAGATTATCATTTCAATATGAAAAATGTTGAAACGTTTTAATAATTAAATAAATAATTAACAAATACACATTAGAAAAATATCTTAATTGACATGAACACATTCTGAAACAGCAGTTTTTTCAATTTAAATTCCTATCTAAATATTATTATTATTTTTAATCATATGACTAATTATGTTGTATTAAAAAGTATTACAAAAATACGTGACAATAAAATATAAAAATATAAATAGAAAGTATATGAAAACCATTTGAAAACCACTGAATAGAAAAAGCCCCTCTCTCTCTCAAGTTTCCATTAAAATTCACTTCGATAAATGTGTGTTGTGTGTTGGTTAAAATAATTATAAAAATAAAAATAAAAATAAAAAGAGATAGAATGAGAGTGGGTACGGTTAAGAACTACTGATATAAAGTATCTCTTTCGTTACACATTAACACGATCGATAGAAGGCCACATTTGTTTTACTACTGAAGTAGTTTTATCGTTTTAACGTTGTGTGCTTAACTAGTTCACAAGGTTTTATTAGAAAACGAACTAATACATATATACGTATATACGTATATGTATGTATGTAGTATATTTGTAATATGTATGTATGTGTGCACCTTCCGTATTTTTATTTCTTTATATAATATACTCGTATATATGTTTGTGTGTGCATTTGTTTGTATGTTCGTCGTTCACCTAATTCTTGACGTCACGTTCTGGATCCGGTGTGTATATGTCGACGACCTTTAACTAGCAATACCCTCAACACGATTATGTTTTTTTGTTCCTTTTAAAAATTCCACTGTGTTTCATTTCTACTATTTATTTATCTATTTATTTATTTGTCATTCATACGACAAACACACTCATTCCACCCATAGGAGGATAATATTCACCGTTTAACACCGGACATTAACAAATTTTTCCTTTACTCTGATTTGATTAAAAAAAAAAAAAAAAGATTTCTGTATTATTCCTTTCATTCAATTTCTTATCTATTTGCTTTTTTTTTACGTAAGAGATTATTATCTTATTATTAACAACACATTGTGTTGACCGATAAAGAAAATATATACTCGTGTTGTTTGTGTATGCATAAACACAACACGAGTATATATTTACATACATATGCATGCATGCATGTAAACTGTATGTAATTATTTTTTTATATGATTTTAATATTACCAATCTATTCTGAGAGAGTGTTAATAATTTTAATAAAAATTTCAATTCAATTACGTATATACATATCTATATTAACACGGTCGATTTAACAATATGTTATCGTATTACAAATGAAATCTAATCATGATTGAAAATTGATACACGTATAGAAGATAACATTTTATAAGATCAACCAGTTTTGTATTTGAATTATTATTTTTTTATTCTTTCCAACGATATGTCGAAACAATAAATTAACAACCCTAATAGTACAAAATATTGACAAATATTGAATACCATGTGTATTTAATATTAAAAAGACATTGAATCTCTTTTTCAATATTTTGTACTACTAGGGAAGTTTTTACATTTGAAAATATTTTCTAATCTTTACATTTGTTCGTGTATTACGAATTACTAATTATATTTATATACAAAATGTATTATTATTATTATTATTATTTTGTTTCAGATCACACCTTGTAATACACCAGCAACACCACCGAATTTTCCGGAAGCGTTGGCCGCATTTTCCAAAATGTCGGCTGGTGAGAAAACACCCACAGGTAATTATAATAATTGTAAAGAAATAAAAATCATTCATTTAAACGAACATCTTTGCAAATGATTGACTAAGTTTCAAAACGTGTGTGTGTATTTTTTTTTATCTCTACGATTAATTAATTTCTTATTATTATCATTCTTTTTTTTTTAGATTCAAAAAAAATTAATAGTAGTTCATTAAAAGATTTGCAACGTAAAAATTAATATATGGATATTTATCGAGATTATGCTGCCATTCGAAAATTGGAAATCGTCGACTGTGATATATTAGATTTATAATAAATTATTTAAAAAATATAAAAGAAAGAAAATACGATTTTGCTAAAAAAAAAAGTGCTGTATTTTATAATTTACTAAAGATTGAACTTCAAAGGTGTATCAAAGTTATATTTTAAAATCGTTGATTGGTTTAACATATATATATATATATGTATATATATATATATATATATATGTATATATGTATGTGTATATGTATATTCGACCCTATCTATTATTTAACACTAGATATACCAGATCAGCCATTTTGACTAGTCGGACCATTTTAATTCCAAATTTCAACTTCATGTAACATTTGATTTCTGTAAATAATTAAGCATTTTATTACTTTAAAATGTCTATTCATCCATTTATCTATTAAAATCATTATTATTAAACATTTTTTGTGATTTTGTAAGAATAAATAAAGACTGGAAGCCTCAAAAAGCATTTTTAGTAGAAATAGGTATACTAAAAAAAATGATGGTATATCTAGTGTTAAATTTAACCGATATATAAATGTAATAATATCATCGCATAATAATCCATTTCTCAACTTCTTATATTACTTGTGATAATCTCTTCCAAAAAAAAAAACAAAAAACAAAAGTGCATATACTTTCCCTATTGTTTCGCTTGTAAAAAAAAAGAAAAAAAAAGAAATAAAAAGAAAAGAAAAGAAAGAAACGTACAATCAATCGTTTGGAAATATATATACCATATATATATATATACACACACACATATATGTATATAAACAAAAATATCGTTTCTCTTCGCAGACAACAAATGTATGAACAAACAAGAAAGGAACATAGGAACGTGTGTAATATAACGTTTTGGAACGATCGAGTCTCTCGTAACGTTGGCAGCAAGCCCGAAACATTCCCCACCGAGCGTGTATACACGGGGGTTGCATACATTAAACTCGTAGTTGGTTTCTCATTCTCTCTCACTCACTCTCTCTCTCTCTCTCTCTCTTTCTTTCTCTCTTTCTTTCTTTCTTTCTGTCTCTTACTCTTTCCAATCCCTCCCTCATATAGTTTTCTCTCTGTTTCCTTTCAGGCATGTCTCCGAGCCAAAACGGGTTGCAACAAAGTTCAACGACGACAGTGGCGCAGCACCATGGGGTCCGGTGTAGCATCTCCGGTAATACACAACAACAAGTTGTACCGAGTCAACAACAATTTGGTTTGGGTGAATTACAAAGATAAGGAGAGAAGAAGTCATAAAAAACGAAGAAGAAGAAGAAGATGCGAGCCAATAATAGGAGGAGGAGGGAGAAGAAGAGGAACAAGAGGATACGTTTTATCACGCGTTTGTACGAACATGTCCAGAAAAATTTCCAAGAAGAAAAAGATGATGATGATGATGATGATGATGATAAAAAAGATGATAAAGGTGACAGGGATTGTACGAGATGATGGTAGTTATAGTAAATGCTTGATCCTCGACAGATATGATGTGTTTTTTTCACAACAGCAACGTTAAAATACCAACTGAAAAAAGAAATATTGTATTACTTTGAATTCTCTCCTACGTGCTAGTTTAACATTTACTTTGAACAACTATTACTAACGATAACACAGCAGTAGCATAGTAATTCTTCCTCGCATGTGACCACTTTTCTTTTAGCGGAATATGTATGACTTCTAACGATGACCGATGATGACGATGATGATGATGATGATGATGATGATGATGATGATGTAGGAGAGAATTCGAAAGAAACCGAATACAATCGAACGCGCAATCAAAAACAAGAGAGTCATTTGTTGTCTCTCTAATTTATTACTCAGGCTCGTTCGAATTTCATTAGCTTTTTTTTTTCTTTTCTTTTTCTTTTTCTTTTTATTATTATACTCATCTTCCTTGTAATTATATTTTATTAATTTCTCTCTTTCGTCGAACGTCGCGTGTCGTATCCCAAGAACAAAAACAAAACAAAAGCTGTAATAATAGTTTCTTTTACTTTCTACTTTTTCATTGATTTATTTTTCTTTCTTCTTTTTTTTTTTTTTGCAAAGGGAACGATATAATATTCCTACGACTATGAAAGACAGAAATATCCTTTTAGCGATTACCAAGAGTATAATATATATAGTACGTAATTCACAGAGAGTTTGTGTAATACGTTGTGGACTCATAATCAATGTAAAAGAGCGCAGAGGAGAATAGCTCGAAGACACGATTTAAAAAAGAAACAGAAAGAAAATCACAAATGACTACGGAAAACACACTCGCTGTTTTATTTTGTTTAGATTGAGAGAATATGTCAAAATGTTTGTAGTAGGCTTGTGTAATTACGTATGCGTCGTTCGTTGTTGTCGTTGTCACTGGGGAGCTTTCCAACGATTACATGGAAGGCTGTGATAAAACAAAAATAATACGAAAAAAGAAAAAAAATAAAGGTTCCCCGTTTTTACGTGACGCGAACACGAAGAAATAATTTATTCGGAAAAGGCAAGTGCAACGAGAAATTCTCGCAAGTTTCTTTCATCTCGTATGTTGAGAATAAGCGTGAATTTGAAATACAATTGTTTTTTAAATTCGAATTAACCGCCGTGTTTACTCGCGCGGCACAGTGTGGCGCCACCATAGCAGAAGCCCGGGAAATTTGGATTTTTCAATATGAACTTTGTTTAACAAAATTTAACGTCACGTAATTCTAAAATTAGAAATATTACTTTTTTTTTTTTAATCCCCTAGAAAAATGTAGAATCTATTTAATTGTATTTTTTATTTTTGGATACGATTGAGATATACCGATTGAGTAAGATCACTTGTTCTTCTTCGACGACATCAAAGTGCTTAGTCCTTTTTTTTTTATTTACGAAGAATAAAATACCAAAAAAAAAAGAATATATAAAATAACCAGATAAAAAAAATACAAAAAAAATGTCAGATATAAATACTACAGAGATTATGTTATTATCTATCTTATGCAAGGAGTAATTCCAATTTCTCTTTCTCTCTCTCTCTCTCTCTCTCTCTCTCTCTTTTTATCTCTTCCTCTCTCTCGTGAACAACTGGTAACGATTCTTACCTAATCACAGTACCTAGAAGATATAACAAAAATTATTTTCTTTTTTTTTTCTTTTCGGTTGATATTAAACAAATATCTCTGTGAAAACATGTCAATCAATTGATCAATTAATAACATGATTGATGATTAATTAATTGATTAATTACTCGCAGATTCGAATTCATTCACACAACATTGAAATCCCAGCTTCTACTTCTCTCCTACGGCAAACAAACAAATAAATTAATAAATTATTATTATTATTGTTATTATCATTAGTTATAGCTATATGAGTTTAATTTTATTTTTCATTTCATCAAATATGTTAATGACAAAAGTAAAAAAATAAAAAAAAAAGCTTCCCCTTGTTGTTGTTAATAAAATTAATGCCGTAGGCAAGAAAACTAAACAAATTAAATTTATGTGTGTACGTATGTATGTATGCATCATGTATGAATTAAATGAATGTATTATTATGTGTACAAATTAATTCGATGCCTTTTTAAAACAAAATTTAGTATTTATTCAAGACATCAAATTAATTTCTATACCCAATATGTGTTTTCATAAAAACACAATACACAGAAGACAAACAAACAAAAATTGAATAATGTGAGATCTCTCTTTTTTCTCTTTTATATATATATATATATATATATTATATAAAATATATATATAAATAAATAAGTGTATCATCGAATAGTCCTTATTAAGTCGTGTAAAAAAAGATACATAAAGAAAAATCATAAGAAACTTGATAAAAAGTATATTATAATGAAGTTTTTAAAATATGTTTGATAGATATATTATTATTATTATTAGTTGTTTTTGTTTAACTTTTGCTGCAGCTTTTTTTCACCTTGCATTCGTTTATGTAAATACTTATTATTACTATTATTATTATTAGAGATTAGCTATAAATTAAGAAGAATGGACGATGAGAGTGTTTTCTTTCTTTTTCGTAAGGTACATATTTTAATATCTTACTTGCGTTTGTAATTTGTAGGCTATTGCTACACAAAAATGCTAATATGTTAATTAAATATTATTATTATTATTATTATTAATTTTATTATTATTATTAATTATACTATTATTGTTTATTTCATTATTAAATATATATATATATATATATATATATAAAACGATTAATGTAAATAATTTAGAAGGAAGAATGAAGAAAAGAAAAAACAAACAAACAGATTATCTAAATAAAATATTAATAATGGTGCTTTCACATACTACTCATATTTAATGTGTCTTTTTTAAGTTACGTCGGACCTTTAATGCTAAACGACGACGATCCATGATGTCATCGTTGTTTTTTCATTTTGTTTTTAAAATCAATGAAATATTTTTATAAACCGATTTATCGGCAATAACAATAAAAAATAAAAGAAGAAGAAAAAAAAAAGAATATATATATATATATATATACACATATATACGTATATATATATAATAATAATAAATTAACATTGTTATTATAAATAGGATCACAGATACGTGAAAAAGTAGATAATAACTTGTTTGATTTAATATAAAAGATTAATAATCATTGAACGATTGAATTATTCATTCAATTTCATATTTTTTTATATATAAGTATATATTAAAAATCACGCGTTACTGTGGTTATATTACTTTCTGTACACTAGGTATATATATATATATATATATTATAGAATGATGTATGTATATATATGTGTTCGTTTTATGTAGAAAATGTATATACAATGGATATATACGATGACAATATTGAAAATTGCTAATTTTCAATCTGATTTTCTTGTTCTATATATCTTTCATGAGATTGTTTCAACACCTCTGCCTAGATCAGACCATCTATCTGGTACTGGTAGAAAATAACGATGCATAGCTGCTATAAATCTAGCTCTGTATTCCTCCGGTGAAATGATGGTTGGTAATTTTCCTTGTCCACCTAATATACCGGATTTCTTAACCATTGTTTCCAATTTTTTATCCCACGTGAACGTCCTTATATAATCTGAATATACACATAATAGCAATAATTAGACAAATTTTTAATTTAAAAAATATGTCAAACTTGTGTGTGTAATGTATGTATGTATGTACGTATGTATATATTATGCTTATAAGAAAAATGAGAAAAAAGAAAAAACATACCTATTATACCTAAAACAAGTTCACCTGAACTCGGTTCCAATCCTACTAATAACGAATAATCCATAACAGAATTGTCTGCTAAAAATTTGGTGTCGCTTTCAATCGCTTTATTTAACACAGCCTTGGAATGAGATCTGATATATAAAGGTGAGTCGCAGCTCACTGTGAAATGTGTAAAATTATAGGTAATTGAGAGATATATATATATATATATATATATATATATAGAGGTATTATAAAGTCAGCTTTTACATGACACAGATGAGAGAAATACCTACTGTTCAATAAATTTTCATCTAACAAAACTAATTCCCCTTCGTGATCTGTATCATCTGGATTTGCCAGTCGATTCCTTATAGATCCCTTCAAATCAAACTTGTCTGTGATTTCTCGATTATAAAATAAATTCTCCATTACCAAAACACTCGTTCTTATTCCATTGTTAGTCGTATCATTTTTAAAGGATACTCTATAAACACCAACTATCTTTCCCAATAATGTCGGTTGTTTCATTTGCTGACACTTTTCCATGTAAGCAAAATAATTTGGTGCAAATCTTCGAAATATTTGCATTTCTAATTTGGACATTTCTTTTATGATAAATCGATCGTCTGAAAAGTCATTCATTATATATATAAAAATAAATATATTTTTGTTTGATGGATTTGTTTTGTGTGTGTGTGTGTGTGTGTGTGTGAATATTATATGCATCATAAATACTACCTCTACTTTTACAAAAAGCACTCCCACTTTTTCCACCCCTAGCTGCCCATTGAACAGTCCTACTCAAACTTCTAGTATATCCATCTTCTCCGCAAGGTAAAACGTTTTTTCTTAAAGCAGAAAATTGAGCCGGAAAATATATCCTACAATAAAAATTAGTCGTTGTATCGTTAAATTGAACTTCAATAAAATTCTGCTGTTTCACTTGTTTCTTGTCTTCGTCTGTTTCCATTGAAACATTACAATTTTGTACTATTGATTCTACGCTTGAAATATTTTTATCGGATTCTATTGGACTAGTAAGATTTGGACTGTTTCCTCTTAAGAAAGATAATACAGATGGTCTCTTGAAATCTCCTGATTGCGTTAATTCTGATGTATTTTCCTTGTTCTCCGAAAATTTACGTTTATTTAATGGACTGGCATTTAATTCTGGACCTTTAGTTGTACGAAGTAATTCTTGAAGAGAATGTTTATAATCATGAGAATCCAATGCATAGGCTATTATAGAAGATAACTCTGATTCGTAGACAACTACTGGTACAACAGATCTGAAAGAAACAAGCAAAAATAAACATTATATTTATATTTGTTTCACAGCATTTCTATAAAAAGAAAATCAAACAAAGTTGCAACCTTGCATGAATTACAAATGATTAATATGTGTTGAGTAATATTTACCCAAGTGGAAGTAATGTATGTTCCAATGGTCCTAATGGATTAGCTATTGGTTGAGTTACAGAAACAGAAGGTAATAATTGAGACAAGATCGTCTTCTTCTTTTTCTTTTTATCAGGCATGTCTTCCGATGTCAAAGGTAAAACATCCGAATAAGATCTTTGATGCATTTTGGGTGATGATCCTTGCACGGTAATGATATCTTCAGGATTATTAATCTCTGGAATTTCGTTATCTGAATTGTCCATAATGTCAATACTTTGTAAATCATTCTGTGCTATTGCAATTGCATCTACTGCATTATAATCAGCTGACATTGGACTCATATCCTCCAATTGTGATTCTGATGCAGTGTCTTCTGTTATATATCCATCAGTATCTATAATACCACTGCTGCTACCAGTTGTCATAGATCGTTCGATGAACTTTTTTGGTCGTTCATCTTTCTTTTTAGTTGAAATTTCTAAAATTCTTGCGTTCCAATTAGACACAGCTTCGGATATCAATCTTTTTAATATGACGATACCATCTTCAATTCTATACATGAGAATTTGTACTTGCTTTTCGGAAATCTTTCCTTCAAGTTTCTTATTTTCCAAAGTTGGAGAAGTTAATTTCAATTGTATTTCCTCTATTTTATTTTTGAAATATTGTTGATCTTTCATCATCTGTTGCTTAGCAGCATTTATATTTTCACCATCTGTTTGCAACGAATTTAACTTTTCTCTTATACACGTAAAAACGTCATCCCCTTTTAAAGCCAAACTTTTCATCTCTTCTATAACATTGGCATGTTGTTTTGGATCATAAATAATATTTATAACTGGTGGTGGTAAAGAAATTTCCCATTGAGAAATCTTCGTGTATTTGAATACGGCCAACATATTTTTCCTCGTGAAATATTGATAATGATCATGATGAAGAGAATGTTGACAATTGTCAGCACCCCTTCTCATATATGAACTACCGTGAAACTTTAATTCGAGGTATTTGGCAAATGATAGAGACCAAGTATCATCTGACATCGGTACGACTGGTGAAACACTTTTACATTTTATACATTTACTCCACATAAGAATTTGATTACTATTTTCTTGACCAAAAGGTTCAGAATTGATTTCCCTTAAGCTAATTCTTACACATCCACCGTCATGAACAAATCGTCTGACGTGTTGAGCAATTTGTGCACGACAAGTTTTTGCACGACATTTGTATTCTGACGTTAAACAATAACGTTCTAGAAAACATCCCAATGCTATATCATTCCGTCCATATAAATCCATGTTAACGGTCCAAGGATATACACAAAAGGATGGAGTATCATTACCAATATGTGACAAGCTACAAAATAATACAGACAAACGTTGATGATTAACAGGATCCAAACAATCTGGCCAACTAGGTTTCGACTCAGTAGTTTCCACTTGTACATTTTGTTGTTGCTTTTCTACCAGAACATTATTCGTTGGATTCAATCGATTTCCACAAGCTCGGAAATGTGCTAAAAGTGCCTGTACTTCTTTACTTTCAACATCCGTTGTTAATTTTGCTTCTATGAATGGATGTCTAGGTTTAAGTGTTAAATTAAACAGAGGTTTTTTATCAGGTAAATTTTGTTCAACAGAAACGTTACTAGTTCTTGTTTCTTTCGTTTTATCTAACAATTGTTCGGAATAAAATATTTCTCTTGGAAAGAAACTTCTTAAAACACAATTACGTCCAGGTTCTGTCTCTAAATAAGGTACTGAAAATTTTAAATAAGGTGAAACACTGAGAACCGTACCTTCTAAAGCTTTCTTAAACTTATTTAACAATGGTAAATCAGCAACACTCAAGTATTGTCCATTTGGACTAATTTGATGAAAGACATCTTCTTCGTCTTCGTTTAAATATTGATGCAATGGATCACTACGATCGCTGATAGATTCACCATAAATACGTTTTTCTTCTACACACCTTGATACGTTACTTTGTTCTGCTGATTTTATTTCTGGATTATTTCCAGAATGAAATGAAATATTTTGTATATCTGTATTACCTTTAACAGTACTCGAAACAACATTAGAATTGCTATAACATTGAGTAACATCTTTAGAAGATTGTTCCACATTTTTTGAATCATTGTTATTGGATCTGATTTTTGTTTTAAATAATTTCAAAGTGTCATAAGGATCACTGTCTTCGTTCAACATAGAAGATATTTGTTTAAGGGCAGAAGAATTTAATAAATGATCATTTTCACTAGGATTTTCTATATCTTCATCTTTCATAAACGTGTTGCGATTAATTGGATATGTTTTATCTATACCTCGTTCATTGCTACAGATATTTCCGCTATCATACATTTGTAATAAATTTATATTCTCTTTGGTGTCGATGCTGCTGCCTTCGTTATTTTCAATATTTGACAAAGTTTCAACGTCATCTTTTCCTTTGGTAGTCAATAATTGTTCATTACTTTTGTTATCTGAATTATTATTCTTCATTGTTGTTTCATCTAAGAAAGAATTGTCTTTTGGAGAAAGTGGTCTTGCAAATTCATCCATGAGAAATGATTTTTCCAAACGCCAGGAATATGCAGCGAATATCATCGTAGATGTAACATTTTTGACTTTCTTCAATTCTGGTAAAGATCCACCACGTAGTAGGATAGTAGTTCCCAAATGTGCATTTGCACAACCCTCAAAATACATCAATGTTTTTATCCCATCTATATTTAATTAGCAAAATAAAACAAAAATATACATTTTAATTAAGTATTTTAATGATTTCAATAATGACATGTCAAATTAATTATATAATATACTTACTTTTATCGTTAGGAAAATTACGTAAATAAAACTTTTTACATGTACCAAGCATGTAACGAGCACTAATATGAGCATCAACAGTATTTACAATATTTGCACCTGTGCATCTGGCTATACGTTCCAGTACACTTAATTTAACATTTAAAATAAGAGTAACGCCACATTCTCTAAATCTATCTTGCGCTAGTCTAGAAACTGATCGATGAACAAGAACTATGTCAGGTCCAAGAGCTGTAATTCTAGCTACGGTATGACCCAAGTATTCGTTTTCCTGTAATTTCATTATTTTTCTATAAACAGTGTTTGCGTCAAAGGGATAATTGTGCATTTACCTGCATCATCACAGGTTCTAAACTTAATAATTTGCCTTCTACACGTTGGTACATTAGTCCACATTGTAATAATAAAATTTTCGGATGAGCAATCATTGCATTCATTCCACGATGAGCTACATTCTTGGTACAAACTACTCCCGATACTATTTCACATTCATCCTTACTACCACCAATACACTTTTTTATTTGTACATAATGTCGAATGTCCAAATCGTCAGCATTGTGATTTAAATCAGGCCTAACATGATCCACTATTTGATGTGCAATATTTAATATAACTTCAGACCAAATTTGTGATAAACCTTCTTTATTAAGAAGTTGTTTGATCAATGAATCTTCATGCTGCTTGTACGCAGATCTATAATAAATCAAAATGAACGATTATTTTTAACATTATCTTACAATTTTGTCTTACAACTCTTCTGTTTTATATTTTACTTACGTTAAACAATTATAGGCACTCATTTCTCCAAACGTAGATCGAAGATTAGTTACTTTATGCCAACCACTTTTTTCTTTAATTTCTTGTACTTGAAATGTGTCACTTAAAAGATCATCGGATACTTTAAAATTACATTCATGAGATTTCAGGTTTACTTCTTTTTGTTCTATAACTCCATCGTTACTGTCTACCGAAATTGTTGTTAAATCCTCGGAAGTTGGTCTTTTCAATGTGACAGTTGATGCTTCTACATTTAAATCTAAATAAAAACTCGAACTTGAGGATGGCAAGCGACCACTAGGTTGTTGAACTAAATTTGATGGTTTCGACTCGCTTTCAGAATCTAATATACATATATATAAATATATATATATACATATATGTATATAAATATATATAAATTTATATAATATAGTATAATTTTTAACACTAAATGTACCGAGCTTTATATATACCTATATCTTCTACCACAGTAGATTAAATGTGACCTGGTATGTATAGCCAAAAATATATATTATAAATACAAATACAAATTTTTAATCCATCAAATAGCACTGTAACTTGTAAAAAAAGTTTTGCCAAAAATGTTGTTATAACTAGTCATTTGATTGATCATAGTACGTTTAGTGTTAATATAAAAGATAATAAATAAGTACCTGTAGTTGAATCATGTTGAGAAATAGTTTTTACCCAAGCAGGTTCTTGTGCATCACAAGTGGCTTGATTTTCTGTTAATAAATCTGTATTTTGCATTTGAGATAATTGGGCTGGTTTAAATATAGCTGCTGTATCACTGAAAACATTCTCAGAAGTAACAGGTTCTATAAATCCTGCTTCAAGTAATGCTTGACCTATAGTAATTGCTTGTACCCTATGGAACATATATTATATTAAATATTTTCAAAATATATTATTATAATTGATTATTATCGTATATACCTATTTGCTGCTTTATTTTGTGCTATCATCCAATTTACTAATTCACTTGCTATGAAACAATTATGATAACTTTTCAAACGAATTCTGTGCGTTTGTAATAAAATTGCTTGACATGATCTGAATAATTCTTCATAAATTACTCTAAGCGATGCTGAATTTTGTAAAGCAAGTGAACATTCTTGCGATGTTAAATAACTATTTGCTGATCTAAAAACCATATTCTTAATAAGTAAGTTAAAGAAGAAAGTATATAATCACATGACATGATTTGATACAGTTAAAGACAAAATATTCAAATATACCGTCCAACAGCATATTTTTCTTCCATGTAACCAACACTTGGTTTTCTACAAATGGAAGTTTCACCTTCTGTACATTCAGATGAATTTTTCTGTGTTAAAGGTGGAGAATCGTTGCCATATTTTACTTGAAGATCTTCCTGCAATGCTTTAAGATCTGCCGATAAATCACTTCTCATGTCGGATGATTGTAAATATGACAAAACCACTTTGCAACAATATGTACACACTCTAAGATCACCTATGACAAACAAGATTATATTATAATATAACGTTTTAATTAAAGAACTATTTTAAAGTACATATATGATGATATTTTCGTACCTGTACATCCCATAATTTTTCCTGGAATTTGATCGGAACAACATTTTGAACAAAATATTTGACCACAAACACGACAGTGATGTTTTCTACGAAAAGTAGTGAATCTTTCACCGCATTCGTAACATTGTTTGCTCACGCTATCCGGCATCCAATAACTCCTAAGCTCAGAATCTTTATATGATTTCAGATTCTATAATTAACATATATATATAGATATGAATGTCAATACATTTAATTAAAATTATGTAATAGTAGGAAAGAAAAAATACATACGCTGCTCTTGGAAGCTACAATATTTCTGATACGTTTCAAAACGTTTGGCAAACTACGACCTTCGTGTGTATCTAATGGAAAATTAATTATACTAGAAGTATCTTCTTCTGGTGTCTTTTCTGTACTCTCCGATTGTTTCCAGGAATCAGAATCAGAAGAACTTTGTTCATCATTATTAGGGAAGGTGATGGAACCGTCAACATTTTGAGGACCTTTCAAATATACATTGTACTGAATTAAAGTATAATATATTATAAAATAAGAATGAACAATTATAAGAATTACTTACTTTTGGTAAAACTGAAGAATTTAGAAAAAAGTGAAGCAACAACAGGTTGACTTTCCTCTGGACTCAACGGTGCAAATTCCGTCAACTTTGACGGTGAATTCATATTCTTTTTTTTTTTTTTTTTTTTTTCTTTTAATTTATGTTATCTATCTATATACATTTTGAAATAAAACCTTACATAAGACACTACTTCTTAAAATTTACAGTATTATTGACATTTGTACTGACGTTAGAGTATTAAATAATCTCAGTAAAAGCGTCCTCTGTTTATGGTTCTTTAAATGACACATCTATGACATTTATAACCTCAAAATTATACATCAAATCCGTGCTACTTAAATACATACGATTATTGGTTACTTATCTAGTTATATTATATATTTAATATTCACTTTTTAGTATTACACATTTAAATATTGTCGTTGTTGGAAATTATCAAATAAATAAGATTCCTATCAATATTGCAATTTTACTTGTATGATGCACAACATGAGAATATACCTTAATCAAAACATCTGTTTTCATTGGTTACATTTTCTAATCTAGAAGAGGACGTTGAGAACGTTGATTGGTCAGTGTTCTCCGCGAAACATTTAAATAGTACAAATGACGTTTTCGAAATTATCCAATAGGAAATAAGAATTAAGTGCATATTGTAATTCTGCATGATGCATAAGAACAGATGACACACCTTCCCTCATCGTAATTTCGAAAATATTTGGAAACATTTTCTTCAACACATTGAATGACAATAACGCATATAAGTAACGTGTTTTGATCGTTTGATATAAGTGTGTACTGAGAATCAATTGAATTCAATTATTTAACTTGTTAAAAAACATCTTTCACAGACTTGTGATTATCAAGGAATGTACAATGGTTGTCGAATAACCTCATAAAACATTGATCATTGTATCATAATATAACAAATAAGATAAATGTATTATATGATTTGTATGTTATAAATATAGTAAAAAAAAAAAAAAAAAAAGATGGAGAATTTACAGAAATTAGAAGAGGAGGCTAAAGCAAGGGCTACACAACATGTGACAAATATGTTGCAAAGACCTGGCCAATTAGAAAAAATAGAAGTATATAAACGTAGGATAAGCAGAAAGAAAGCTTCTGTAGAGACTATGCTTAAAAGTGCAATGCAAAGTCAATTAGATGGTATTAGAGTTGGTTTTGAACAATTGCAAAGTTCCCTTGATAGTATTACTACGATAAAGGAAGAATTGAAGGAGATTGAAAAATTGTTTAGTATTGTACCAGAACTGAGTAGTAAACTTCAACCTGTTCAAGATGAAAATATGCGTCATTCTCAGTACGTGACTGCTAAAGAAAACTTAAAACATATATTTACAGTACCTGAAAGTGTAGAAATAACTAAACAATGGATAAACGATGGTGAACTTCTACATGCTCATCAAAGTTTAATGGATCTAGAAAATTCTCGAGATGATTTACTCTACGAATTACATAAACTTCCTAATCAATCAACGGCAGATACCATTATGCTGAAAGCTTACTTTGAAGATGTAGAAATGTTGTCCCAATTAATGGAAAAACAAATTCGTCTTGTTTTAAGTCGTACTTTAAATACGGTAAGAAAAGAACCAACAGTTATAGTAACTGCATTAAGGATCATAGAGAGGGAAGAAAAAGCTGATCAGTTTGCGATTCAAAGGGAAAAACAAAGTGGTTTTATGCCACCAGGTAGACCTAAATGTTGGAAAAATATGGCAATGAAGATATTGGAGAAATCAGTGGCTAATAGAATTGAAGGTACTCATGTTGATGAAAGAGCTGATAATAAAATGTGGTTGGTAAGATATTTGGAACTCACTAGACTTTTGATTCTTGAAGATCTAAGAGTAGTGAAAACTCTTTGTGGTCCATGTTTTCCACCATGGTGGAACATTGTAAATACATTTGTCAAAATGTATCATACTAGTTTATCTCAACACTTGAAAGATATCATTGCTAACGGTTTAGAAGGAAACGAATATGTTTCCTTGTTGGCTTGGATAATGAACACGTATACTGGACCAGATTTAATGCAACATCCAGAATTAAATATAGATCTAAGGGATATCGGTCCTCTATTGAGTTCAGAGATAATAAATGATCTACAACAGAAATATTTGAAAAATATGTGTCAGAATTATGAAGACTGGATGAAAAAGACATTAGAAACTGAGAAAGTTGACTGGTGGAGCGGTGATCTACCAGAAAGTAGTACGGAAGAAGCTTATTATCATACAGCTGCACCTGTTATTATATATCAAATGATTGATCAAAATCTTCAAGTAACAAAAACAATTAGTTCTAATTTAACAGCTCAAGCATTCATCCTTTGTATAGAACAAGTTACTAAATATGGTTTTATGTATCGACAAGCGATATTAGAATTCAAAAGTAAACATTTTGAAGACAGAAGTCGGGTACCTTATTTCACACATCATATGATTACTATTGTTAATAATTGTCTACAGTTTACAGAATTGGCACATCAAATAAAACAGATCTATTGGGTTCCTAATTCAAGCGGCGATGCCACTGTCAAATTTGAAAATCTTTTGGCACATTATCAACAATTGAGAAATGAAGCAGCTGCCATATTGTTGGAAGAATCGTTTCTCGATTTAGAATTTCATTTTCAAGATTTGATTACGTTCAAATGGTTACAATCTTCTATCACAGTTGCAACTATATGTGTTACTTTAGAAGATTATTTTCAAGATTACAATCATCTCAATCCAAAAAACTTTGAGTATGTAATAATGGAAGCGCAAAATCTTATAGCAAAGCGTTACATATCTGCTATGTTACAACGTAAAATATCATTTAAGACCTACGACGAGTGTTTAACTTGTACTTCTAAGATAATATCGGAAGCTGATAAATTAAAAACTTTCTTTGTTAGAATAGCACCTAAAGTAGGTAGTTATAATTCTCCTTTTGAAATAATTAAACGTCTTGCCGAAGTATTGCGTTGCGAAGATTCTGAAATTCTTTCTCTTGATTTACATTCATTAGTTGAAAAGTATCCTGATATGACGGAAGATCATTTAATCAGATTACTTAGTTTAAGAGGAGATATTCCAAGAGGTGAATCTAGAGAAAAGGTGGCTTATATCTTAGAAGCTCAACGCAATCGAAAGATACCACAAACTATAAGCAATAGTATATTTAAACAAATAGTGCTACAGGATAGCTTTCTTAGTTGGAAACCTTGAAACTGCAAAAACATGTTTAGACCAAATGCAGTTTAAATTTATTTCCATGTAAAGCATAGTAAATTCAGCATAAAAGATTTATGTTAATATTTAAATATTTAATCCATTTGCACTAATGCATAATAGGAAGAACGAAAACAAACAAATCTGCCATTTTGTTGTCCATATTCTAATTGCTTGTATATGATTTGCTTTTGTATTAATGGAAACAAAAAATTGAAATTTTTTAATTCTATTTCAAATGATGGTTTAATTAATAAGCATAAAGTTAGATTATACTTTTTCTATAATATTATTATTATTAATAATAATTAGCTACGCGCGTCACTTAGTGCAATCACGCGAAATTTTATTGACTTGCCATCTACCTCACAATGACTGATGTAGCTTCAATAATAATAATAATATATAATGAATAATAAAAAATAAATTTAATTACCTTGGTACAAGATTTGTAATATATATTAGTAAAAAAATGTAATTAAACAAGTGAAATCGATGCGACAAAAGATGTAAAACAATAATATAGTAAATTTATTAGTTATTTAAGAAGCCATTGTACTTTAATCCCTAATAGAAAAATAATTGATATTACTCAAAATAATTGTATATGTGCGATGATGTTTAGTATGTAAATATATACCTATTTATTGCAGCATGTATGAACAAAATAATTATAATTCAAGAAATAATATATATTTTTATTTATACTGTATTTTTATTATACACATTTAATGATTTTTCTTATTTTCTTTCTTTCTTTCTTTCTTTCTTTTTTGAATGAACAAATTTTTAAACTCCTCCCAAAAAACATTTCATTATTCAGAAAGAAAGAAAAAAATATTTAAATGGTTGTCGATATATTATAATAATATTATTTTTTATAATATACATATATATATATAATTTGTAATTATTCGATGATAATGAGTAATTTACTTACCGAGATCAAAGTTCCAAATTTGCATTAGTTTGTCGAGTCTAATCGATCGAATTTTTACAATATTTAATTTAATATAATTACACAATTTATATAATAAATAATTAAATAATTACTATCGTGACTATACGCGAATAACAAAAAATTAATAATAATTATTCGAGACAATGAATTAATTATTCAAATTTACTTTATATATTAATGATCAAGATTAATCCTGTTTAGAAGTATTGCAATATTCATCCATGAAAATGAATCAAACATTCTAAACATCATAATTGTTCTCGTAGAATAAAGGGAAAGTATCATTCTAGAACCGTTCATTTGTTTTAAAGTATATCAATGTCCGCTGAAAGCCACCACTTCGTAACAGAAAAACCTTTGTAATTCGTACAGATTCCAACATACAGAGAGATATAGGAGTCACACACACACACACATATATATAACAAACATAATTTGACCAATGAGAATTTCTCATCATAGTCCCAAAAAAAAATCCGATATGTTCTCTCTCCTTTTAACCCAAGTATTCAACCAATAGCAATAGAAATGTAAAACAGACCGACAACATAGGGACCAATGAAAATGATCGTCGACAAATGAAGGCAACTGATTGGTGGGAAGACTTACGATCTGTGATGGGCGTTACGAGTGGGCGTGTTTGAGATTAAAATGACCACGCCCATTAGTTTTCGTTCAATCGGGTTAGAGTCGACCAATGACACGATGGTAACGCTCGTCTGACAACGTGGCCTTAGTTGACGCCCCTGCATTTCTCTTGGCTAACTAACAGCGTTTCCCCGCATTCGAGAGTCGGCGCGTCGATGTCAGCCACTCGGCCAGCAAGTCCCGGCCACCCTTCTCCTTTCTGCATTCGCTATTTCATTCCCCACCCACCCTAAACTTCATCCTCTCGCAGTTTTCCCCCGTTTTAGGTAGGGCAACGTAGCAGCAGCAGCAGCAGCAGCAGCATCAGCAGCAGCCAAAAGAAGAGTCGTTGGAATCGCGTGACATATCCTATCCCCGACGCCACTTCTCAACACGACGTTGCTTTACTCTCTTCGTGTATGTAACACTAGCACAGACGTATATACACACATGCGCACACTCTATATACACACCACTACTACTACCATCCACGAACGACCTGTGATTCCATACAGAGAAACGATCATGGATATTGGAAGAGATGGTTACTTTGCCAGCCAGCCAGTCGTGCAAAGCTCTCTACCCCTCTACCGTTAGAATTTTTTTTTCTTTTTCCTCCTCCTCCTCCTCCTCCTCCTCCTCCTCTTCTTCTGTTCTTCTTTTTTCATAGGATAATGCGCGTACTCTCGCACACCATATACACGCACATACATACATACGTACACGACTACTATACGCAAGAGAGAGACTTACCCGGGCACGAACGGCCCTTCTTCCTGGAGGGAGGATGTTCAAACGAGAGAGGGAGATAGAGTATTGATACTCCATCCGTGTGTGCGTGTGTATGTGTGTTTGTGTGAGTGGGTAAATGTGCGCGAGAGAGAGAGAGAGAGAGAGAGAAGGTACGGTGAATCTCGAAGCCAGGCCGTCACGGAGAACGCTTTGGGACTTCGCGCGACTCCCTTGGCGCGGTGTCGTCGGTACGGCAACCAGTTTGGTTGTTCTCCGTCTGGGGATGTTCGACTTTTGACTTGAGCCACGGAGAATGGGCACAGGTCAGTCCGACATCATCCTTTTTTAAACCTCTCATCGTATCACATATACACACACATATACACACATACACACATACATATGTCTCATTATAATTACGGATAATATTTTATTTTTTTCAATTTTTAATTAATCGTAATACAATCCGGTTGTGTCTGCAAAAAGAAGAAAAAGAAGAAGAAGAAGAAGAAGAAGAAGAAGAAGAAAAGAAAAAAACAAATAAATAGGAAGAGTTTTGATTGCGTAGTAACAACAACAGTGGTGTGGATTTCGCGCCGATTTTTTCGACCGCCATAGTTATCGAATCGAATTGTGACGTCATTCACCCTTTATATGATAGCGGGAAATTCAAATAAATTTTGTGATTTTTATTAATTTTCTTTTTTTTCTATTTTGTTTTGTTTAATTTTAATTTATTTTGGATCGTCGAAGATTAAAGAAAAGTTTTATTGTTCTGTGATATTACATATGGTGGATCTTTAATTCGGGGCAACCTTTTTACGGAAATCGATGACAGCTTTAAGTGCATGTGTTTGTGTCTGTGTATATGTGTTTACTTCTCATTTTTCTCTTTTCTTTTTCAATTATTGATGTGTTAATATATATGGTGTGAGTTTCGTGTCGGATAATAAGAAAAGTTCTCCATTAATTTGTTAAACAATACACATAACCTAATTTCTGGAAAAATAATACGAACGAAAAGAGTTTGATGGAATTTCTTTCACTGATTGAAAGATAAAAAATATCTATATTTGATCTGATATTTAAAAGGAATATTTTAATATATATATATACGTAAATTTATTGAAAATAATTTAGTTAAACAGAATAATAGAAAAGGAAGAAGAGAGAAATATAATAGGTAGTATAGATCTAAAGCAACGAAGGAAACGTAATCCATTGGGGTTGCCTTAGCAAGGCTGATCGTGTTAAGTTGGTAGGTAAAGAGAAAGAGAAAGAGAGAGAGAGAGAGAGAGAGAGTGGGCGTGAGACAAAGGTGGTTAATTCCCCAGGCCAGGGACTGGAAGCTTTGGTTGGCTTAGCTATGGCCGTGTTTTTCTTGCCGCGGATCATTAGGACGATTAGGGTTCCCGCGAAAAGGGGGAGAACAGATTAGCCAGCGAGCAACCGAGTTCGAGGAGAAGTCTTTCTTAAACGGATCTTATGTCAGCCCTTTTTATACCATCGTCAATACCTTTTCATCTCTTTCCAAATCTTTTTCTAAAAGATATTTGAAAAGAACTTTTTCAATAATACTCGTGAAAATTCTTTTGTTTTTTTTTTCTCGATCGATAAAACGTTTCGTTTCTTTTCTTTTTTTTTTATTTGTATTTTTTCTTATCATCTATAATTTTGATGTTAATTAACACTTTAATGGCCGCTCACACAACATGTGTGTGTGTGTGTGTGATAGCCGGAACACATTGGCTGTTATTTTATTTATAACTTTATATATAAAATTAAATTTATTGTTAAATTGTTGTTTTTTGATTTATATGAATTTTTTTGTGAATGAAAATAAAGTTTCTTTTTTAAATTAATTCTTGAAAAATATTACCGGGACCCTGACGACGTTTCACATGTGGCCATTAAATTGTTAATGCAAATAAGATTTTTGTAGATTATATTTTGAGATTATGGTATGGAAAATATTTGTATTTTGATCAATTTTGGAATAAAAGATTTGTTTCGATAATTAATTATTAATCAGGATAATGGATTCCTTACTTGTCTTCGTTCGTTTGATTTTTGTTCTTTTAGGAGACCGGTTACTTGACATTCTGTGTGGCGTATGCGGTGACCGTAGTTCCGGAAAACACTACGGCATCTACAGTTGCGACGGTATTGTATTTTCTCATCTTATCATCATTATTATTAAGATAAATCAAAAGTTTGTCAGTTTATTGCGTTGATATTTTATTTTGGAAAATGCATAATTGGTGTTTTTGTCAAATTTATTTTGGAAATATTAATAAAAAACAAAAAACGCACATGAACTTTTGATTCATCCCCTATTAGTAAGATTGTAGTATATATTAAGTTTAATATATACTATAATATATACTATATTAATATATAGTATATGTAAGGGAATTTTAAGTGTCGAAGAGAGTAAACATAAATAAGTGAATAGGCGTAGTTGTGTGTGTAAGTCCGTGTGACTTTAGAAGGTTCTCGAGCGATATCGATGCTTTACGGATACAGAACGATTGATTTCCCTACATATATATATAGTATAATAAATAATATAGTACCTATATATTAAAATAAATAATATATACTATATTATATATTATAGCAATTTAATATATACTATAATATACTATTACTAATTATAATATTTGAAGTATTATAGATTGTATCTATAGTTAAGAAAAACTTTAAAATAAACATTGGACTATTTTTTAATCCTTTTGTTTTGTTTTGATTAACAGGTTGTTCTGGATTTTTCAAGAGAAGCATTCATAATCATCGAGAATATACCTGCAAAGCACAAGGAGCATTAAAAGGGCGCTGCCCGATCGACAAGACTCATAGAAATCAATGTCGGGCTTGTAGGCTAGCAAAGTGTTTTAAGGTCAAGATGAATAAAGAAGGTGAGTGAACAAATTCAATAAAAAAAAAAAAAAAAACAGAATTATTCAGAATTAATTAAAAAAAAAAAAGAAAAAGAAATAACCAAAAGGATTCTATTAGAAATCAATCGTTTGAAACTGATCAATCCGATTAAATTAGGTTAACCAAAGCTTCCTAAGTAAACGTTCGTTCTAGGTTGACCAACTTGTCGTGTTGACCATGATCAAACGAAGTACTATACCATTAGGTGTTTCTCCAATAAAACTTAACGAAACCCTTACAAAACCTTTACAAAACGAATCGGTTCGTTTTCATGTGTGATACACGAATCATTTTCAGTTTGGTCTCTATTAGTTCACATGATAAGTGATCTGTTAGTTGTATATATGTATAAAGATCACATAGGGATAAAGTTACAACGTCATGCAATGTTTCATATTTGTCTAGTCATTCATTTCAACAACTTTATTCAATCTACACTTCATTTTTTTAGAACGTTGTCATCAAAATCATCGTATAAAGGGACACACAACCCACTTTTTATTCCATTTGTTTCTTTTTTTTATTTATGAATGGAACAATGGGGGTTCTAATATAAAATAGAAAGATCACCTATTAACTGTTGATTTGATCTGATATTATTTAACACTTTGCGGGATAGAATTTCAGATAATAAAATAGCCCTATGTTGCACCTTTTAAATGAAATAAAATTGGTATATTTTTTATTAACCCTTTGAGTGCTATCACTCTATCTACTTAGCGAAATCAAAAAAGGCCTCGAGTACAAAGGATTCATTCAATTTTGAATATTATTCAAATTGATTAGATAGAATACTCTTGACAGAAAAATATAAGAAAAATAAATTTTGAATCAAATTGCGCAATCTCGAATCATCTTCTTTATTAGAACAACCCACACCCCATATATGATATATATATGATATACATCCCCACGTATTTATATATACATTCACATACACACTCACATACATAAGTAAAAGTAAAGTTCAACGTGAAGGTAGTAAAAGTCTGATAGTGGTACGCTTTCGAGAGGTATGAAAGTTACGTAGAAAGGAAAGTCTAGGTATGGAAAAGATGGAATGGTGTGGGATGGGTTTAGGGGGGAGTTCAGGGTGTTCAGGATGTTCACGGGGTGCTTGGGAGTTACCTTTTGCCATCAATGCTCAGATACGACGATGACAACGACGACGACAACGACGACGACAACGACGACGACGATGGTGGTGAGTGGTGGTGGTGAATGGTGGTGGTGGTCGAGACGAGTAAGCTTTTCTGTGGTAGATATATTCCAGGTGGGGATAGAGAAAACGGAAGGAGGTAGAGGTGGAGAAGGTGGAGGAGGTGAAACTGGAGGATGGATGGGGATGGAAGAAAATCGAGAGAGAGAGAGAGAGAGAGAGAGAGAAAGATGGTAGACCTCTCGATGGGGTGGCAGGGAACAGGGTGGTGTTGGGGGTGTTTAATGCAGAACGGGTGCTCCGGTTCCCAGCGGTTGCCGAGGCTCCAGACGCGAGTAAGAGAGGAGATTCAATTAGTGGCAGAGCTTCCTAACGTTAAGGAGACTCCACACGGTGTTGTTTGGGACACCATCAAGAAAGAGGTCCTACTACCTTTTAATCTTTCTTTCTTTATTTTTTTCCCTCACTCTGTTCCCTGATGCAATCTCTATCTTTAATTTATTTTTTTTATGGAATATTTTCTTACAGTGATTTAATGAATTCTAATAAGTACAATTCATTTGGTATATTATAGTATAATTATTAAATAATTTCTTTTTTATTTATATTATTATCATTTTACTTATTTGCTTATTAATTTTATTTTTTGAGAAACAGAGAGAAAAGGAATTAGTTTAAAGGGAATTTATCTAATTTTCCTATACGTACATTTCCTACAGTTTATAAGATATATAAATACTAATATAATAATAATAATACTAAAATACTAATAATTTGTCATGGTGTTCCATTTTTAAAAGAGGAATATTTATTTAACTTACAATGTACAATTATCGTGTATGTATGAAATGACTTTTTAAATGAAATAACGCAAAGTATTTATTTAATTATTCGCGAAAAAGTAGTGTTAACTATTTAATTATTATTATTTTGTAATTGTTCTTTTCTTCTTCTTCTTCTTCTTCGAGAGAGAGAAATAGGATCGTTGTGTATAACCCATAAAAGACAGGTGACCACTCTGTATATATATATATTATGTAGGCGGTATTTCGACGCTTCGCGAAACGCAGCCGCAGGCGTGCAATCATCCGCTGCTGACAAGCCCGAAACCTCTAACCCCCTAGCACCACGTAACCCAAGCTAGCTGCTAGAAGCAAAAGACTCGCTACTCATACCCCTCAAACCTCCTAAATACACCTTCTCTCTCTCTCTCTCTCTTTCTCTTTTCCCTCTGATTCTCCCGCACGAAAATTCCTCCTTCTCATACCACCCCCCTTGTCATACCTCTCTTTCTCTCATCGTTGTTACTCTCCTCTACCGTTTATAAATACCCTTCGTGGTATATATTTTCACGAAATATGGCGTTAAACGATATCAGAAGATTACCAAGCGGCTTATTACTTTGAATTTTCCTATTCTACGCGGATGATAATATTCTTATTGTAATTCTCATTATATTTCTATATTACATATTTTCATCGTCAATTATATTTCTCTTATTTGTGTTCATTTTTTTCTTCATTTATTTTAATTAATTCCTTTCTTTTTCTTTGTTTTGGATTTTTTATGATTGCTTATTTAAATGATCAATAAATTGTGATCTTTGATTGAATAGAAATATTTCATCAATTCGTTTGATATTATTATCTTCTCAACATCGATATCAAGTATTTATAATACAATATTAAACTTTTGAATTATTCTGTTAGATTTGAAGAACCTGTGTTTCTTACAATTTTACAATCAACTTTAGTAAGGTGACATTAATTTCATTATTTCCATAGATCTTTTGTTTACCTTATCTTATACCTCGATTATTCAGTTTGATCAAAAAGTTGTTATCCAATTGAAGAATTTCGAAAGTTTAATCGTTGACTTGCAAACGATAAATCTGGTTTATATACAGGGTGTTTCATATAATCTCTTTCTTCTTGCAAACACGTAGATTATTAAAGTTTCATTAAACTTATTTATTATATAAACATTTGTAATATTTATCGTAACTTTGTATTTGTATTCTATAAATGTAAAATACTATATTACCAAGCTATTTTACTTATAAATATGTAATTATAGCAATATTAATATTGAAATAAATTATATATATAGTTATTTATAAAGGAACCTAATGCTAAATAATAATTTGTTCAATTTTGTGAAAGAACCAATTGTCTTCATATATTCGTTCAAACTCGTAACACATTCACGAACAAAATGTTTAGAAGAAGCTTTTTGACTTTAAAGTTATTTCAAAAAAAAAAAAAAAGAAAATCATATCTATCTTAAATTTACATAGTATTTCTTCTTGAATCACCCTGTATAAATATGTATATATATATGTCTTTCTGTGTTCTTTTTTTCGAACGTACGGTCAACATCATCTTCAATGTATACACATTGGCCTCTCAACGACGATTCGCAAACTTTGTCTCGTTTCATGCTCAATCGATCGTTTCTTGCTACTTTTCATCTCCTCTCCTCTCCTCTCTTCTCTTTACCTCTTTTTACTACGCTCTTCAATTTGAAACTTTCAAATCTCTTTGTTTCTGCTCATAATTCGCGAACACCCCTTTTCTAAAAGTAACTACGACGACGAAGTACTTTGAACCGGAATTAAACACGGCATTTCGACGGGTTCACTCGTTCGTTTCTCTCTGGGTCTTTCCTTCTTCCCTTTACCTTCCTTCTTCTTCTTCTTCCTTTAAAACGATTCAAAATTATTCCAATCGAGTGAATCTTCTGACTGACGGATTTTCAATCGTTTTTTTTCTTTTTTTTTTTATTAAATATTTTCTTCGTAATAATTTTTCACATCGATGGATTAAAAATTCAATCAATATTGTATTTCAAAAATATAAAATATATATATATTTAATTCTTTATAACGAATAAATAAACAAAGAAACAAAATTAAATATAAAACATCGTCGCATTATTTGTTTTTCGAATATTTCATTAGAACGAGAGAGAGAGAGAGAGAGAGAGAGAGAAAGAGAGTGTACGTTCGAGTGAATTTTGTTCTTTTATTGTAAACAAAAATAGGGAATTATTCGAGATTAAAAGTGTGGGCCGATTTTATAAAATCGTGTGAATATTTTATGCACAAAGAACAATAAAATTTCACGCTAAAAAATTGTATTAAATTGTAAGCATCTAAAAAAAGATCTCCCTTATTATCATTCATTTTATTTCATATCATTTCTATTGCGATAAATGAATATAAAAAAAAAAGAATGTGAGCAAATCTTCCGATAAGTAAGATAATCTTATTATAAGTAAAGTGATAAAGGCTAATTGTGAGATGAAGACTTTAAGGGAGGGGGTATTCTGGTCTAGAGGCATGAATTTTAGGTACTTTTTCAAGTTCAATATGAGTCAAGTCCTATTCTAATTACACACAAAATATTTAAAAATAAAAATTTAAATAGAAACATCGAATATAACAATATTAAAATAGATAATACCAATAGACTCTCTTGGCATTGGGGGTAGTTATGTAGAAGCATGGACCATTGTACGAGTATATATACTGTGTATTGCTACTGCAACGGGGGTGAAAGGAAGGAGTGGAAGTGTGGGGGTTCCCTGGGCGTTGGTATGACAGGTGACGATCAAAGCTCGGCTTAGCGCAACGACCCGTTCTGTCCACGAGTACGTACACACATACATACATACATACACATATACCCGTTTACTATATGTATAAAGAGAGAGATAGAGAGAAAGGGCGAAAGGGGATTGGGGGTGAGTGAGCACCTTCACTACCACCCCATCACCACCACCACCACCACCACCACCACCACCACTACCACCCTTTGCCCTTCTATCTGAAGCCGCTTTACCGTTTACCGTTTATGTGGATGGATTGATGCTGGCCGCTGCGTGTACGGCACGCCTCGGTTCGTTGCGTTACCAGCCGTCCACTCCCACGCGACTATTCCCTTAGCCCTCTCCTCGACGACCCTTCTCACCATCTTTCTAACCTCTACACTTTCCTCTCTGTCCTACCGTGCCTTGCCTTGCCTTGTCTTGGCCTGGCCCTGCCATACCTTTTTTCATCTTTTTTTCCTATCTTTCTCTCGTGTTGTGTTCTTACGTTTGCCTTGAAAAGAACCTGGTCGAAGACCTGGTTTCGATCTGGGAATAGGCATGAGGATAGGGATGAGGATAGGGATGAGGATAGGGATGAGGATAGGGAGGGGGTAGCTTGATGATAACTTGGCCAACAAATTGTTCCACTTGTTATCGAACTTTTGGGGATTTTTCTTTTCTTTTTTCTTTGCTTTTGTTTTTATTGAATGTTTGAATGATATATGTTATATTAGATTGTTAGGAAAATTTTGATAAGGGATATATACCGTGCAATTCGAGGGATGCCTGCATACACAATTAACCCTTCTATTTCCATTTTAACATATCATCTTATTTTCATCTCGTTTTGTTTTCACGTACATTATTCGAGTATCCCTAGAAGAAGAAGAAAAAGAAGAAGAAAACTAAGGAATTCAATCATATTAAAGATCAATAAAATAATACTAATTACAAATACCCTTAATATCGATGAATTCAAACCAATATATTTGAAATATACCAATTAGGTTTATATGTTGGATGTGTTTAGACAACACGCATAATATTTTCCGGAAGATATAGAATCAGATGAGGCAAGAGTATTACATTCCTGTAGTCCAGTTTAATATATTCCCATGCATGTAGATATGTAGGTAAATCCAAATTCATGTGTATTACATGCTGAATAGGAGGATAGAGGGGAGGTATAGGGGGATGATAGGGGTATTAGGCAAAACAACAAGACTCGACTGTGTGGAAGTTACATGGTGTTCATATTTACGCTCATATGAGAGGGAGAGAGAGAGAGAGAGGAATCAAACGAGAGGAGGGAAATTGTGAGGCTAGGTGAGGAAAGGAATAAGAGTTTAATGTATATGTGTGAAAGTGGGAGGAGGAGGGGGAGGGAGGAAAGAGGGTGACGATGGGTTAGAGATGTGTATCAAGCCCACTCACCCAGGGGATTAGCCTTCGAGATCGCTGACTGCTGAAATGTTCACAGATCGGTTTACCGTTTAGTAGGATACTGAATGTATGTATATGTGTATATATGTGAGAGAGAAAGAGAGTGAGTGAGAGAGAAAGAAAAGAGGAATGGGAAGGAGGATGTGCGAGGGAGCTTTCGATATCCACCCTCAGCGATCCGTGGCCCGTGTGAGCACCCAACACGCTCGAGATCATGAAAGCTGACATAGAAAGAGAGAGAAAGAGAGAGAGAGAGAGAGAGAGAGAGAGAGAGATAGATAAAGAACATTCATAAATTCACCTATACGTATTACCATAATCTCGTGCAATAAGCACGTACCCATTCTATAGGTATAAGAGTGGTATATATATATTTTAATATTAACATTTAACATTTTAACATATTATTAAATATATTATTAATATATTTAACTAATATATATATTGATACTACTAAATATATATATTATATTATACGCCAAAAATAAAAATATTATAAATAATTATTTTACTTTGAACCACCACCCACCACTCTTGCTCGTATAAAAAAAAAAGTAAAAAGTATTCGATAATATCGATTTCTATAGAGAGTGTATTAAAAAAAATAAAAAAAATAAAAAATAGAGAAAGAAAGAAAAAGTAAATTCGTTGACGTGTGTCAATGTCGTCGAAGGGCTTTTGGTCAGACAATTTTCAAGTAGTAGTAGTAGTAAAATAGTAATAATAGTAATAGTAGTAGTAGTAGTAGTAGTAGTAGTAGTAGTACGTGCGTATTCAGGATCTCGAACGTCGAATGGACGCAAGGATTAGATTCGCATGCGCTGGAATGGACCGCGCCCTGTTTCCTTTTCATCCTCGCAACCAACCCAGAGCAGTAGCATCATTCTTCTTCCCTCTCTTTGGATTCTCGTTTGTGAGAGAAAGAGAAGACAGGAGAGCGCGAACGACAGCGTAATACACGAGCATGGCGTGTGCCACGTGTGTACCACAATGCCAGTTCCCACACTGGAGTACCACGTTCTTTTCACTATATCTATATATATGTATAGGGTGCTCTATTTCGATGCAAACAACGTTCAAATGCATTTTATTAAAAAACAATCATAGTCCTAACAAAAATCATTTACAATTTTAAATAACCCATGACCCACTCAACCTAAAAGAAAAATAAGAAAATATAATAATTAAAAATATAAAATAAATAATAAAATAATATAATAATAACAAATATAAAATATAATAATAAAAAAATTAATAAGCAACAAAATTTAATAATAACAAAGATATATATATTATATTATTATAATTTTTTGATTTCTTTTTGTTTTTTCTCTTCCCCTTTCTTTTTGAAGTACAGAAAAAAAGAAAGAGAAAAAAAAATTGTGAGATCGAGTTCTTTCGCATCGACAGCTTGACAAGTTCGAAAGGATGAACGAGCTTAATCCGTTCTACGCCCCGTTTGATGGATGGATACTTTACGTTTGTGAAGTTTTCACTTGTGAAGCACATTTTTATTTTTGATTCATCAATTTCGAATTTGATTTATTAACAAACAAAATATTTGCATATGCATATGTTTTTATAGAAAGAAAAAGAAGAAGAAGAAGAAGAAAACATATATTGTTTTAAATTTCATACGTGGTTTTCGTACTGGAAAGATAGAGTGCAAAAAAAAAAGAAAAAGATGGGGAAAAGAAGAGAATGATCAGCAGCTTCAGGGCTATTTTCTTTATCGACTAAATTGTCCGTATCCGAGGCAGGTAGAAATTGGATGATGATGATTATTTTCTCTAATGTAATTGTTTTTACGCGAAGGGGTGGGAGAGAATGGGGGAGATAGTAGAATCCACGTGATAGAAAAAGAAAGATACAAAGTGTACGATCACGTACACTATTGTTTACTTAGTAAACACGAATCCTTGTACAGTTGTAACCTGACATGGGGACGGGTGGTCCCCATGATGTCAGTCACGTGTTCTTCCCATATTCATTCGGGGAATGATTTTCTAATCGGGTGAATAAGAATTTACTGGACCATTTTATTTTCTAACACCCTTATTTACATAATCTTTACTTGTTTTCCCTTTTTTTCTTTCTTCTAATCTTACTGGGCTTTGTTTTGTAATTGTCTTTAACCCCTTTAGAGTACTGAATTATTTGAAAATTTGTCATTTAATTTCTTGCTATATGGATTAACCCTTTTAATACTATGGACGCATATATGCGTTTGGTTAACTCTTATCTGGTTAAATTACTAACTTTATCGTTCGAAGCATATACGTGTTTGTTAAGTAGAGTAATACTAAATTATTCTATAGTGAAAACAAAAATTAATTTATTTTATTATACTATTACTCTATATTACTTTTGTTTATTATTCAAGATAAAAAAAAAAATCTTTTGAATAAACCTAACAAAAAAAGAAAAAAAAAATGAAAAAGAAAATAAAGAGGAGTATCATTGGTTGCGCCAATGGTCATACAACCACTGATACGGAATAAAGCAGAGAGATATACACCTACTATTGCTGCGACGCCAGTGCGAACGTGGGAATCTACGGCTGCTATCCGCTCAGCCTCATTAATGATGATGTGCTTGCCACCCAGTTGCACCTCTCTCTCTCTCTCTCTCCCACCTCCTCTCTCTGCCTCCCTCTCTTTCTCTTTCTCTTTCTCTTTCTAACTAACACGTACGGATTCAAGACAAATACATATACATATATGTGTATATTTGAAATGCACACAACTTCATGTGTAATACATTTTGTATATTTGTGAACGTGTTTAGTTGATATATATGTATGTACATGCATGTATGTATGTGTATGTGTGAAAGCTGACGCCCAGCCAGCGACCGCATCCGTCGCAGCAGCAACCTACCAACCACCCTCACTGAATTTCACTTGAAGGTCTCCTACCCTTTTCAGCACTATCCACCATAACTCTCCCATACCCTCCTATTTTCCTACAGAAATACAGCTCGTACATCTCCGAACAGTAGCGACCTACTACTACTACTATTGCTACTATACTATTACTATTAGTGTTGGTAATATCCCCACCAAATTGAATTTCGAACAAGCCGTGGCCACTTTTTCGCTCCCATCGTTGAAACCTTCTTTTCTTTTCGATTTCCGAATATTATCAAGGTTGAAAGTTAACTACGATAAGATTAAAAGGACTAGAAGCTAATCAAAAATCTTATTTTCTTTTTCATTTGTTTCTAGGAAATAAACTAGAAAAGTACTGAATATTTAAAAGAATCATCCCCTTTTTGCTTGTACCACCAGTTACCGATCACCCTGTATATATATATATTAGATTATAATATTAATTAATAATAACGAATATTAAATTCAAATATATGATAATATATACAAATGTATTATTTATAATACTTGATATTATATTCATAATATGTGGTCAATTCGGAATCATCTGAATGATATATTTATTATTCAACAATTAAATTAATCAAAGCTGATGAATCAATCATCATATATCAAAATATAAAAAGATGAGGGACAAAAATAACGTGGATATGATTTAATTAATGTTTAGCAGTACAACATGAACGTGGACCAAGGAAACCAAAACCACCACATTCGATTTTTTCGGAAAAGCAACAACATCAGCAACAACAGTCACCGATAGTTACACAAAGGACAGGACTACGTTCAGCTTATGTTCTCTCACATCACAGGTATCTCTCTCTCTCTCTCTCTCTCTCTCTCTCTCTCTCTCTCTGTCTCTCTCTCATATCTGGATTTTGGTTAATCAAAAATTATCTTTGGAAAATAAAAGAAGAAATATGTATGTTTAGTATAATTAAATAGTGAAATTTGATTACGATCAATTGATTTAAAAAAAAGGTTCAGGTGCGAGCAAAGATTCACCCCTTATCCTAGACCAATAGGACTAGCACACAAACCACCAGAAGACTCAACATCTCCGGTACCTTTAACTCAGCCACAGCACCCTCCTACGACAACAACCCTCTACCAAGCAGCAGCAGCAGCAGCAGCTACAACTGTTTCTCTTGCACCACAACAATCCCTCTTACAGATTCTAATATCCGCTGAAAAGTGTCAGGTAATTAATTTAACTTCATTCATACTTCGTAACTTTCGTAACTTTCGTAACTTTCGAAATCATCTTCTTCTTACCCTTTGTTCTAATTTAATAAGTCAAGATCTTTCGAGTTAACGAAACAATCGCAGCATCTTATATTGTTCTTCTTAGATTGATGATGTTAAGAGATCACTTTTGATTGTATATTTTTGACCAGGAACTAGTATGGAGTACCAGGTTACAATCAGAAACGGAATATTCGTTAGAACAAACGGATTCCGAGACGAGGCATAGTCCGACGGGAACCTTGAAAATTATTGGTCCTAGTTGGGAAATGTTTGAGGTAGAATATTATTCAATTTCTGTTGACAAAAATAAATGAAATTATTTAAAATCTCACGTAGGATAAAAAAATAGAATTTTGTTTATATCAAAGTATAGAAATATTAACACTTTAATGGCCGTTCACACAACATGTGTATGATAACCGGAACAACTAAATTATTGGCCCTTATTTATTTATAACTTTTTATATATTTAAAATTATATAAAATTAAATTTATTATTAAATTGTTGTTGTTCTTCTTGGATGTTAATTTTTCATAAAAATTACCGCCTCTTGGCGACCATTAAAGTGTTCACAATTCACGTAGAATTTAGTTTGTATCAAAGAATAGAGGAGAAATATTAATAATAATAATGCATATAATTGATCGAATAAATAATAATATATGTTAGGAGATCACCGCCAGGCTTCTTTTCATGGTTGTGAGATGGGTCAGATGTTTGCCACCCTTTCAAGCCCTACCAAAGGACGATCAATTACTTTTACTCGAACGATCCTGGACTCAACTATTTCTTTTACATCTTGCTCAATGGATGATACCATGGGACGTGACGAGTTTACTTGATGACGAACAAGTTAAAAGTCGACTTCCAGTTAATGACGTTGCTACCAGTCAAGAGTTGGGTATGATTCAGGTAACAAACTAACAACCTAACAAACTAACAAAGTAACAAACGAATAATTTGAAAATTTAATATAAATTATCTAATATATTATTTATATAATTACATTATAATTATAAATTTAACTGATATTAGATAATTTAAATGAATTTGTTAAAATAAAAAAATCACTAAAACATTTCAATCAAATTTTTGTTTGATCACTTTAATTTGTTTGTTTTAGTCAATAATATATCGTTTCCGGCGTTTAGCACCTGACGTTTACGAACGTAGTTGTATAAAAGCACTAACACTTTTCATACCAGGTAAATGAAATAACAATTATTAATGTAATTTATTAAAAAAATAAAATTAGATTATTGGACAGGTATCAGTGAAAGTGAAGATTTGATCATTTCACAGAAACAGTTGGACTACATGTGGTACAACCAATTGAGATGCTACAGGAACAGGTGCAATGTATCTTAGATGATTATATGAGATCAAGATATTCGCCACAGGGTAGAGTTTGTAGTCTTATGTTGTTGGTTGGTTATTTAAGAAGTGTTTCGTCGAAAACCGTCGAACGTTTGTTCTTTCATGAGACTATTGGTGAAATTCCCATATCACGTTTATTGGTTAACATGTATGAAATGGAGGAAAGGCAAATCGAAGTGCAGTAATTTTTAAATTAATTTAATCTAATTGGTTCTGATCATTTAATTGCATATATTCATTAAAATAACTTATGTATACATACGCACACACACACACAAACACATACCCTGTCGTTCAAAAATATTTCTCCACTTTGGAAAATTTATATTTCAAGTTTTTATGGTTTATTATTTTTATATTTATAGAATTATCATCTTCGAAATAAAACGAGTTTATAGAAATAGGAATAATAAATTATATTACTTATATATATATATTATATATTTATATAATTAATATTATTTATTTATATTATATATATATATATATATATATATATATNATATATATATATATATATATATATATATATAAATTGTTTTTAAATTATCATTAAAAATATAAGTGGTAGTCAAATATTTTTGAACGATAGTTAATGTATATACGTATATAATATTTCATTTTTGTTTTCATGAGTATTTATAAATAATTATTTATTATCTTCTATACGTATTTTATTTAAGTTTTTTTTTTTAATGAATATTGTTGCAAATCATCATTCTATATATATATTGATTTGTTTTGTTATTATTAAATGAAAATCCATTGATCTTAATAAATATGTTATAAATGTAATAATAGAATCTTGTTTAAAAAGAGGAGAAAATAATATTTAAAATAATTCAGTAAAACCGCGTTAGGTTCTTATTTAAAATAATATTTAAACAATTTATCGAGTTTCGCTATATATTTCTTGTTATCGAACGAATAAAAATAGCATATTAATTAGATATCGTATATTATTATCATTTTGTCGATTTAATAGTAAAGATCTATTTACGTATAATACTTAATTATGTATATTTAAATATTATTTTTCTAAATGTTTATAAAAATATAAAAAATGTACAATATTTTTCATTATAGTTCAATTATATAACAAAGTTTATGATTATTTCAATATCCTTCGCTATTAAATCGACATTGTGTTCAAATGTAATTTAAAATCGATTTGAAAAATTTACTTCATAAAAGAATTACAGGATTACAAGAAAGAAAGAAAAAAAAGAGAGAGAGAGAGAGAGAGAGAGATATTGACAGAAATTCTAGAATCTAAGAATTTAATTAAAATTCCCCCTCTTTTTTTTTTTAAATTCTTAACGTTTAAAAGTTTTGTTTAAACGTGTATAATAAAATCGATAAAAAATAGCAAATTTTTATGTTAAATATTTTTCTCGAATGGATACTTTCAGTATTCACTGAATTTCAAAGATATTCTGTAATAAATGAATGTCTTTAAATAATAATACGCTAAAAACTGTAATATTTAATATATTTAATATAGTTACATTAAATTTTTTCGTAAAACAAACGAACGTGTGTATTTCTTTATCATAAATTTCAAATTTAGCGGTGTCTAAGTTTCGCAAAAGATCCGATTAGTGGCGCTCGTGTTCACTCCTTTAAAAAACATGGCTGCGCCCTTGTTGCATCATTTTAACATTAAGGTTAGAAAAATGGTACAAATGAAAATATTTGTAAAGAATTGTGCACGTTATTACATCAGTAATAATATAACCGCAGTAATTAGATATATTCAAAGAAGAAAAGAAAACCTTTTATTTACTTGAGTTTAAATATAATTTTATAAATTTGAATGTAAACATTATTATTCTTAATGTGTTTGAAACTCATTCTAATAATTTATGTTGTTTATCCATGAATACTATTGCATTCATAAAACTGAAGAAATATGAATGGAAAAGAGGTACGAAATTAAAACATACTTATTAAGGGAAATGAATATTTTCTATTTCTAATCTTTCTATAATATTTCCTTTCAGATTCTTCATACTTTTTGTCAATGAGAGTAACACTATCAAAGTGAAGAAGAAAAGTAATAGAACTAAGGAAAGTCTATAAACTTATCTATTAAGAAAACAAGGTAGGAATTTCTTATTCTGATCTAGGTATAGTAATTACTTAATTTTATGATTTAAGGAATATGTGAATGATCATAAATTATTATCTGAAAAAATGTAAAAGTACTTATAACACAACGACAACTTCCTTACCAAATATGAATCTTTTATTATTATTCAGTTCAATGCTTGTTGATGACACAGATAGATGCAAAATGAAAAATTGCTATTATATTCCATTGCTATAACTACATTTTGTCTATTATTATAAAATTAGTTGAATTTAAACAAGAGAATAATACACCGTGGCAAAAGAAAATGCTTTTTGTACTAACTAAAATAAAAATATTGTTATTAGTACGATTCATTTAAGAATAAATAAATAGAATGTTCTTACTCCGGAAAATACTTGATGCGATGCTATAAAGAAACCTCCAATTGAGAGTGCACATTCCATTTTGCCTCTTAAAATTATAAACAACAGTATTTTTTGAGTTTTTATAGAAAGCATATAGAATGGAACTTGACATCTGTAAAAAAAAAAGTTTTAATTGATATAAAAAATACATAATAGTGAATTGCTTAATAATTAGACTATACTTTATATAAATTTGATAAATATTTGTTAACTCTTTCGCTCTTGTACACTCCAACAAGAACATAACTTATAAAACTTTTTAAATGTGCTATTTAAAGATGATGTTTAAAATTTGTTTCTTGTCGATACGAAAAAAACTCAGATACCTTGTATATAGACCTTTTGAAATAAAAGAGTTAATATGTGTATTCTTTTAAAAGTTACTTTAGAAATTCAATATTTAACAAATCTTACAATTCATAGTAAGCAGTATTGCTATGATTAATAATCTTTTGTCCCATATAAAAATTAATATATGCTATAAATATAGAAACAATAAGGTAGGAACAACACTCGATTATTCCCCCTGTTTTCTGTGATACCGAAGATAATTTAAATATCTACAAGAAAATTAATGAAATATATAAATATATTGTATCACACTTGTTTTTTTCTTTGTCATGTTTCCTACTTACGTAAAATCGACAACTTACATTAATAAAATCCAATATTATAAGGATCATCACAAGGAAAGAACATAATAAGTAATTTATTTTCGTGAAATAACTTATCAGATCAACAAACCTTGAACAATACAAAATTTGATTTATTATCGTATATAACCAAAATGATCGTATATAACAAAAAAAAAAATTAAAATGTATAATATCTTAATTATATTTGACTTACTCCGTGACTCTTTTATAACGGTTGATTATGTCAACTATCCAATCGAATTCTTTCCAAGAACTTTTATTATTCACATCTTCTACATTATTATATATGTTGTTATTTAAAAATGGTTGTCGTAATTTAAGTCTGAATAAAATGTAGTCAAAAAAAGAATTTTCTCTTAACTTTTGTAATAATATTTTAAATATAAGTCAAGATTATATATTTTGACATTAAACATCATACCCGATAACACTAAATTGACAACACGCGTTTTGAATTAATGTCAAATATAATGAATTCCACACATTCGTAATATTCATAGGTATATAAAGTGCTATTATTTGATAAAGAAGAAAACTATAATATAGTGGTCCTGGGTTTGAAACATTATTAACTGGTAGGGGTAATGTTACGACAGCATTATCTACGCTTCCAAAGTGGTAGATAAATACGCTTAAAATAGATGGAAATATAGTTGCTATAACAAACAGATTGGTGATACCTAAAATAATTAATATAACATGATATTCATCGAAATATCATATTTTTTTATTTCTATTATCATATATTATTATAAATATAATATATGTAATATGTATTAGAAAAATTAATACATTTTTGTAATAATGTTTACCCGTAAAAAAATACGTATAGATTTTGGTTTGTTTTGTATACTTTTCAAAAATGTTCAATTCATCCTCGTCGGATATCGATGCGTAAGTAGATTTAAAATAAGCGTACATTAATTTTATCTACAAATAAAATGTTAACGTTTTAAATTGTCTTTCTCTTTCATTAGATTTTATATTATTATCACGAAAAATAATACGAACGGTTATAAATCTATAATAAGTTGTATAGTATGTACACAGGAAACACATAGCAGCTATCATATTTTGCAGAATTTTGATAGCCGAGTGCAAGCTAGTACCAATTGATATATAAAATTGATAAAACTGAAATAAAAAAGAAACAAAAAAAAAGAAATTAATTAATATAATTAAGAAAAAGTAATTGAAATATTCTTTATATACGTGTACCTGTTGCACAATTATAGGTAATAAGTAAACCGTCACAAGAAAAATTTGTAATAACTGATCATTCGAACTTTGATACGGACGTAAACCCATCAGTAACTGAACAAGTCGTTTTGAAAAAAGAAAATGTTGTTCAAAATAGATTAAACCATTTACCGACATCGTGTACGGATTCTCCCTTTATAATAATTATTATGAAATCAAATCTCATTCTTCTATTTCACCCGGTTTCAAATCTTTTATTATAATCGGTGGTGAATAGCACGAGTTATCAAAAATTAATATGAAAATATAAGTGCAGTTATTAGAATAAAAATCGATACAAGCTATAATATCAAAAATTATCTCTCGATCAGTTTTTAATATCATTTCATTATACATATAGGTATGAAAACAGGTGATAATTCTCAGCAATTAAATAAGAAGTTGCGAGAGGGTGGTATACTTCTACTACTATAATAAATTTCCAATAGCATGCGCAGAAGGGTCGATGTTGATTGCTATTTTTCTCAGTTACTTGTTGGATTACAGAACGAGCAGTTGTACAGTTCATAAAATGTTCAATTTAAACGACAAAGAGTTTAATTTATTAAATAATATCGTTCATCGCGTATGTTGCACACACACATATATATAATATTTGTAATATTATTTGTCCTCGTATAAAGTAAGTATCATAGTTACGTTTTCTAATTTATTATTGAGTGAACACAATAGCTGTAAAAAATACAATCGGTCGGAATATTTTAAATGACTAATTATTAGAAAGTGTACAATTCTTGATATTGTAGAAAAGAAAAATTCTTAAACTCAACTCTTGGTGTCCGAATATTACACAGTCATCTGTATATATAAATGATTTTCTATATGACGTATTATATTTTTTCTAATTTTATTTAAAAATTAAAAATGAAATAAAGAAAAATTGAAGTTTACGATATTTTTTCTCATAATTTTTAATATTAATCATAATACTACTACATTTCCAATTATCAATTTGTTTTTGTCATTACAGTAATAAATAAATTTCATATATTAACTGTCGTATATTGTTGTTATTACAGTTACAGCATATTATAATATACCATTGCAAATGAAAACGCTCTTTGGACTAACTGAAATAATAAATCTGTTGTTAATATAATTAAAAACAAAAAATTTGAGATAACAATTATTATTTATAATAATTGTTACAAACTTCGGAAAATATTTCATGGGATGCCACGAATATACCACCGATTGAAATTTCACATGGTCTCATGCTTCTTGCTATAACGAATAACAATAATTTTTGTGTTTTTATGGAAAGAACGTAAAATGGAACTTGACATCTGTAAACAAATAAGCAAAGGTAAAACCTAAAAATTGGACTTTTATTTTAATACCAAAATATAATTGATGATTCATCAATTTAGTGATCTTTTAAATAAATATCATTGAAAATATCTTATTAAAATTCGTATTTTTTCTTTTTTTCTTTTTTTCTTATACATTCGTAAGATCTTACAATTCTTCGACAGTTGCATTGTTATGATCAATAAGCATTTGTCCAAAATAAAAATTAGCGTATATAGTTAATATAGAACCAACAATGATAATGAAGCATTCAAACATTCCATTTGTATTTTTCAATATTACCGATAATTGCAATATCTACAAACAAATATTTTATTTAACAGTAAGACATTAATAAAAAAATAAAATACAAAATATTTCTTAAAACGTGACATCAATATACCACGAAACCACGAGTAATACTAAAATATTAAATATTCATTATATTTTATATGAACTTACATAAATAAGATCAAAGATGATGAGTATCATTGCAAATGAAATTTCAACCAAGTAAACTATTTTGGACAAATGGTTTGTCAAATCTACAAATCTTACAACAAAGAATGAACAAGTTAAATTATATACATATTATAGAAAGAACACAATAAATTAATTGATACAAACTTTGTGATTCTTTTATAACGTTTTATTACATCAACAATCCATTCCCATTCTTCTTGATGTGTTTTATTGTACCAAATTTCATTCTCACATTTCTGTTCATTAAATGGTTGACGTATTTTGAAACTACAATGAATATAATTAGAAAAAATAATTTTTTCATGATAATATATTATAATTACAGAAAAATACATATCTATTATAACACGTGTATTATAATTAAAAAAAAAAACAACATACATTATAATACTAAATTGAATGCACGCGTGTTGTATTACTACCAAATACGTTGAATAGCATGCGCTACATATCGTTAATAATACAAAGATTGCTATTACTTGATAAATAAGCAAACTGTAATACAATAAACCACCATTAAAAATGTTATTAACGGGAAGAGGCAAAGTTAATTTTACGTTGTCTAAAAATCCCAAAATGTGTAAGAAAACACTTAAAATACTTGGCATCGTTAAGGAAATAGCATAAAGGTAACAGAAACCTAAAAAAAAAAAAAAAAAAATAAAAAAAATAAATAAATGTCAATACAATTTATTTGCAATAATAATTATTTTCGAGATTTACCTACCAACGATAATAATTGTGAATAATTTATTTTGTTTCGTGTATTTGTTTAAAATGAATAATTCTTTTTGGCTTGATAATTGTTCATAATCACGTTTAATATAATTGTCCAATTTTTGTACCTAAAAACGAAATATAATCCTTTCTCGTTGTTAAATATATTTTTTTATGTATATATATATATATATATATATATATTAATGAAATATTAATTTTAATCGAAATGAGAGACACGAACTGTGGTGAAACGAAAGTAAACAGCGCTGTATGTACAAATAATACACAGTGCACTTATCATCTTTTGCAGCAAATTGAAGTTTGATGCCAATTTAATGTTCGCATTAAAAAGTTGATAAAACTGAAAATATTTGAAATTGTATGATGTACAAATTATACATGGAATTGTTAAAAAATAATTCAAATATACGCGATAGTATCGAGAGAATACTTTTTCATAGAAATATTTAAATATTTCTTGATGATTTTATATCAAAATTCTCATAGGAAAAACGTGTATACTATTCTTTGTCATATTTTTGTTATTTAATATTATTAAAATATTTACCTGATGCAGAATCATTGGTAATACATAAACAGATACAGTACAACATCGAAATAATTGATCATATGAGCTTTGATTAGATTTTAATCCCATTATAAGTTGTACTAATCGATTGGAATAAAGAAAATGTTGCTTGTAATAACTCGAACCTTTCAAAGACATAATGATGAATCTTACGTTTTCTCTTTCAAAGTTAACACAACACGTTTCATGTTTTCCCTTATTTCTTTTTCCTTTTCTTCTTTTTATTCTTTATTATGTATTACGCATTTTAATAAGACATTATTACAGTTATATAATAGACCTATTTGTCAAACAGTTATATATAAGAAAATAGTATCGTAATAATTAAATATGAGTCTTGCGTGTATGGTCTTCCCCTATGATATTATGGTATTGACGAACACTCAATCAAAAGAAAATAAAGTTTATTTGATATGTATAAACAGGTGGTTGTTTCCAACCATATAAAACGAGGGTTGTTATATATCTCCTTCTTTTCTTTCTTTTTCTTACTATGCAAGAACTTGCACAGAAGTGTCCTGCTAACAGGGATTCTTGTCAGTTAATATTCAGCCGGTGTACAGTACACAGATACTTTGAAAATAATAACGTATGATAGAAAACACAAAATTTATTGATATAAACAGTATAGGGTGGTACAGTTATTTTCAATCAGTAATATGAATACCGTACACATTTCTTCGTATAACACAGTGAATTGTTTTCTTCAAGAAACTTTGTGTTTGTATGAATATTTTTAATATACCGGAGGGTAGGGTGTTTTGTAATATAATGTGCAACAAGAGACCCCGTTTTAGAAGTTTAATTTTGTTTTGATAATCCAAGTTTCACGTATAAAATAACTATTATTAGAAGAAAAGAAATGAATGAAATTTTGATACACCATATATATGTTCCAAGCACTATATATTTTTTCAATGACTACTACGTATTTAATACAATAAAGTATTTTGTTGGGTTTTTTATTTTTTATTATTTTTTTTTT